GTCTCCCTTCCTGCTGTGACACCTGGGGCCAGCAGCTCTGAGTCACTGCTCCAGCCCCAAGAGGGCATGTCCTAGCCTGCCAGATCTTTGGACAGCATCTGGATGAGCCAGGTGTGGCCCCATGGTGCCCTGCCCATCTCAAGCGGCACCTGTCTGCCTGCACAATGCAGCCTGAGAAGCTCACTGAGCTCTGGGCTGTGAAAATCTAGGTCTGAGTAATAGTCCCAGGCCCAGGGTCAGCTTCAGGGAAAGGCAGGCTGCCAGTCCGAAAGTGGGGCTAAGAGGCCAGGATGTGGATTCAGATGACTTGGGTCCAAACCCCTCCCTTCCCACTTACCAGCTGGGGGCCTTAGCCATCTCCCTAACCCCAATGTCCTCATCTGTAAAATGGGTGTAACAGCAGAACCCAACTCAAAGGTTTATTATAAAGATTAATCAGGTAGGCGCAGTTCCCTCTCTTGAGTTCACCCACTCTCATATCTGGGGAGTGTACTTTTTGCTTTCATAAACTTTCCCACTTGTGTTACTCATCCCCTATAAAAAACAAAAACAAACAAAAAACCCTCAGGTAATACAGTGAAGCACTTAGCACAAGAGCAAGTGACAGAGAGATGTGCACATGGTACAGCAATTCAGATACACACCAGGGCTCCTTCCTAGCCACTGTTCTAGGGGTGTGGTTTTTACAAATTTTGTTCAGAAAAACTTCTCATTGCCTGTCTTTCCTGGCAACCTATTGTGTGCACCCACTATGTGCTCAGAATTGATCAAGTTGAAATCAAGCCCTCACTTGCCTCTGACTACCTGGCTGACACTGGGCAAGTCACTCCTCTCTGAGCTGCCCCTTGTTCATCTGCATCATGGAGACACCATTCACCTCCCCTGCCCAACCCCTGCCACGTGGTACAACCTCAGGGGTCGAGCTGGAGAGCCAAAGCTTAGAGTGGCTCTTTGCTGTGAATGTGTCCAAGCCCTCGTCAACTTCCCAGTCTTCTCTCCATGTTGCACACAGCTTTGCAGAGTCCAAGATTTTTTCCTTGCTCTGTTCTACAGCAAAGGGACCGGCCCAAGAACAGCCCCTTGGTGTCAGAGACTCACAGCCTCCAACCCTAGAAAGAATTTAGGACCCAAGAAACCAGCTCCTCCCCAACCCCAGAGCCCTGAGCCCCTTTCCAGGGCACACATTTCCTCTAAAGTACCCTTCCCAAGTGGCCGTTCTGTCATGCTCTCATGCCTCCAGTATGGAGACGTTCACCTGCTTACACGGCCTCCACTCCATGACCCCGACTATACGTGTTTCATTGAGTTGAGAGCTGCCCTGACCACTTCCATGGGGTCCACCTTCTGAGAGGACCAGATCCCGCTTCCTGTCTCTGCTGTGAAACAGCTCCTCCAGAGCTTTCCCTCAGGCCCCTCCAACCCCTCCCCACTACCACCAGAGGTAGGCGTAGCAGCCACGCAGACCTGGGTTCACATTCCAGCTCTGTCCCTTTTCTGGATGTGTGTCCTAAGGAAAGCCACTCTCCCTCTCTGAGCTTTAGCTTCCCCATCAGGAAAATAAGGGGAAATAATCATGTGGCTGTCTCCTTTCACTGAACTTAGTGGAGTTCTAAGATGGAACATAATGCCTCTGAGCCCTCTAGGAATGTGACTTGATACCACATGGCCATGGCCCTCCTGGGCCTCCTTGCCGTTTCAGTGTTCATTCAACAGACAGGGATTGAATACTCACTTTATGCCAGACACTGTGCTTGGTGCTGGGCACGGACAGGGTTGGAGGGGACCAGAGGGATAATCTGTATGAGAGCAGAGTAGGCCAGGCCAAGAGGAAAAAAGGGAAGCCCAGGCACAGGGAATAGGGTGTACAAAATCGCATTCCAGAAAGAGCCTGACCCTTGGGGGGAACTGAAAGATCAAGGTTGGAGTGCAGAGGCCAAACATTTGCTCAGAAGACTGGGTTTCAAAAACAGTTGTACATTTATACAGAGGAATACTATTCAGTGATTTAGAGACCTCTCTGTGTTCATGGCAGTATTATTCACAGTATCTGAGACATGAAAACAACCTAAGTGTCCATCAACAGATGAATGGATAGAGAAGATACGGGATACATACACAGTGGAATAGTATTCAGCCATTAAAAAAAGAAAGAAATCCTGCCATTTGTGACAACAAGAATGGGCCTGGATGGCATCATGCTAAGTTAAATAAGCCAGACAGACAAATACTGCATGGTGTCGTTAACAGGTGGAATCTTTTTTTTTTTTAATTTTTAATTTTACTTTTTCTAAAGATTTTATTTATTTTAGAGAGAGAGAGCACGAGCAGGAGGGGCAGATGGATAGGGAGAGAGAGAGACTCTCAAGCCGAATCCACGCAGAGCACAGGGCCTGGTGCAGGACTCAATCCCAGGACCCCGAGATCATGACCTGAGCCAAAACCAAGAGTCAGAGGCTTAACCGACTATGCCACCCAGGCGCCCCTATATGTGTAATCTTTAAAAACAAAAAACTGAATATGTAGAAACAGATTGTAGAATGGTGGTTGCGAGGGTGCCAGGGGCTGGGGCATTAGGGAAATTGGGTGATGTTGGTCAAAGGGTACAAACTTGCAGTTATGAGATGAATAAGCTCCAGGGATTTAATGTACAACATGGTGACTACACTTAACAATACTGTATCTTATTTTTGAAAGCTGCTATGAGAGTAGAGCTTTAATGTTCTCATTGTAACAACAACAACAAAATGGTAATTATGTGACGTGATGGATGCAGGAACCAAGGTTATTGTGGTAACATTCTGCAGTATAAACATGTATCAAATCATCATATTGTACACCTTGAACTTACACAATGTCATATGTCAGATATATTTCAATAAAGCTGCAAGGGGTGGTGGGACGGGTCAGACTAGTAATACACACAGTAGATAGGATCTCAAAAATATGATGACCACTGAAAGGCAGTATATACAGAGCCAGCCATTCCATTTATCTAAAGTTCTAAACACATGTAACTAATCTATAGTGACAGGAACCAGATGAATAGTTATGTCTGGAGGGAAATGACTTGAAGGGGTAAGAGGGAACTTTCTGGGGTGATGAAAATGTTCTCAATCTTGATCGGAGTTTTAGTTATATGGAGGTATACATTTATGAAAATTCACTAAGCTATACACATAAGATTTATGCATTTTACTGTATATATGTAAAATATACTCTAAATTAGGCCTTAATGTAGATGTAGTTCTGATAAAGGGAAGGCGAAGGGAGAAACAGGTTTGCTGAAGGATGAACCAGAGTAAGGCAGAAAGCAGGCTCCAGGTGTCAGGAGTGAGTAGAAATCCTGGACTCTAACACTTCCTAGCAAAATTTCTTCACCTCACTAATGCCTCAGTTTTTAAATATACAGTACAGGGATAATAATAATTTTCCCTCACTGAGTTGTCAGACTTTAGGAAATAAGCAAGTTAATTCACGTTAAGCGCTCAGAATATTGCTTTGCACGTGGTAAAAACTCAACAAATGGAAGCCTAGAGAAATAAGACGGCCTCCAGGGACCTGGCAGAAGAGCCCATCCCTGGGTCGAGAAACGGGGGGACCTCGTGGGGCTGCCTCTGCGAAGCGAGATCTGCAGGAACTACAACAGGCTTGACCTGGCGGGCGCGGGGCAAGCTGGGAGTTGTAGTTCTCGCCAGTCTAAAACGCCCACGGACGCGGGGCGACGAGGATCAAGGCTCCTTCCTGGGAGCGGGGGATACCCGGCCTGAGCAGGGAGCGGCCCGCTCTGCTCCACGTGGCTCTAGCGATGGGCATAGGCGTCCTGTTGTCACTGGAGTCTCCTAACCTCCGAAAGAGGTATCAACGCTCCCAGTTCGAAGACGAGGAAACAGGCTCAGAGAAGGCACCAAAGCGGGGAACCAAGATCTGCTGCCCGCAGTCTTTATTACCGACCCTGCCCTCCTCAATCCGAAGCCGGGGGAGCGGGATAAATTCTACAGGAAGCGAAGGTTCTTTGAACGGCCACGGAGTCGCATTATGCTCCCCATTTCACGGTCGAGACAGTCAGTCACTGGTCCAAGGTCACGCGGGCACTAAGTGCGCCGCTAGGATGCGAGGCCCTGGGTGCTTCACCCTTGCGCACCCTTTGCCGCCAGACGCCGAGGGGCGTGGCCTAGAGACGCCCCGCCTCCGCCACCCTCCGCTCTCGCGCACTTGGTGCAGTCCAGGTAGTTCCACACGCGCTCCAAAGCGCGCCCGGGTGGTGAGGTCTGCGGACGGTTCCACTGCGCGGGGCCAGAGGGGGGGCCGCGGCAGGCGGCGCTCAGGCCGCAGCGGGACCGGGACCCCGGGCTGCAGCGGGAGCGACTCGCCGGCCGCCCGGTTGGGGTGGAGCACAGCCGCGGCCCCAGGTAACTCCTGGCCCGACCCTGCGCCATGCGCCCCAGGCGCGAGGCCAGCGAGGACGGAGCGATAGGGGGCGGCCGCGGGCTGACAGAGTAGCGCAGGGACTTACAGCGCGGCCTCTGCCTGCGTCTGCAGTGCCGAGCTCGCTCTCCCAGGACCGGGAGCCAGAGGTGCTCCGCTCATCAGTCCGCCCGCTAGGTCCGAGTATCCCAGTTCGGGGACACCTTCCCCGCTCCGGGAACTACAAGTCCCAGAGTGCCCTGCGCCCCGCACGTGACCCGACCGCCGCCCCCCCCCCCCCCGGCGGGTTCCGGCTTCGGCCGGGGCCCTGCCATCAGGGAACTGGAGCTGAAGAGGTGCCGCAGTCTTTTGGCTTCGTAACTTCCGCCCAAACATTTTACCAGCGCTCCTGGTGCCAGCCGTTGGGGAGCCGGAGTTTCCCGAGCCCTGCCCTGGAGCGGCTGCGGGACCGGGGAACAGGCCACTACACCCCCGCGCCGTCGATACAGCTTTCAGGATGTCAGAACGCCGGGCGGTCCAGAGAGGGTCTGTGTCTTACCCAAGGTCACATAGCTTCCGTTGCCTAAGGATCTCTAAGCTCGAATCGAGCTGCTGTCGGGGGGGTCAGGGCGGTGGTGTGGACAGGACGGAGATAGGAAGCTGGCCCTCAGAAGGAGAGAAAATGGGGAATTCGGTTGGACTCATCCCCCGGGGTGTGCCAGGCGCCCGCACTCCTGCAGCCCCCGGTTTTCATCTCTGGATGTGATAGTACCTGCTCCCACCTTTGCAGACCCTGGGAATTACAGTGGCCAGAGCTGCAGGGGGAAGGGAGTCAGAAAGGGGAGCCCCTTCCAACACCGTACCCACAAAGCTCGCACATTCAAGTGCAGACCCAGACCCCGAAAGTTGCGCAGGCACCGCCAAAGATGCGCACGTAGTGAGAGCCCCTGGTGACTCACTGAGGTAGGTACTGTCACCTCCGATTTACACCTGTCCAAACTGAGCCTCAAAAAAAGGTGGTGACTTCCTCAAGATCACAGAGCTAATAAGAGGCAGAGTCAGGTTCCAAGTCCAAGCCCAGACAGGCTGACTTCAGAGGCTCTGTATTTATTTATTTATTTATATTTTTTAAAGATTTTATTTATTTGACAGAGAGAGAGATAGCGAGAGCAGGAACACAAGCAGGGGGAGTGGAAGAGGGAGAAGCAGGCTTCCCGCTGAGCAGGGAGCCCGATGTGGGACTCGATCCCAGGACCCTGGGATCATGACCTGAGCCAAAGGCAGACGCTTAACGACTGAGCCACCCAGGCGCCCAGAAGCTCTGTATTTAATCATCAGTGTGTGCCTGTCCTCAGTAGCCCTGTAGGGGCTGAGTATCAGTGGTGCGCGCTAAGTGCTCAGTAAATGTCATGTGTCACTACTGTTGGCCTGATTTTACAGGTAAAACTAAGGTGGAGAGAAGCCAAATAACTGACCCAAGTCAGAACTAAAGTACCCATGACCTGAACCCCAGACCCATGACCACCTTAACAGACGCCCTGCCCTACCCCCATGTGCACAAACAGAGCCACTTCTTTTTAGGGGAGCCAAAGCTTGGAGCTCAGATGTGAGGGTGGTGTGTTCAGGCATGTCCTGAGCAGAGAGGACTTGGCAGGGAGCCCATCAGCCCTCCATGCTGGGATGTGAGGCTCTGGGCTCAGGTCTGCAATGCTCTGTGGTAGTAGCTGGGAGGTCTGCGTCCCACGCTGGCTCTGCCAGGCTGTGCCGTGTGTCCCTGGGTGATCCCTCAATCTCTGTGCTCCGCAAGCTCCACCTGGGAAGGCTACTGAGCCCTGTATCTGGAGGAAAATTTGAGGGGTCTTAGAAGAAAGGAGTGGGGTGCTTTCTGACCCCGAGGGAGGAATGGAGGCAGCCAGCTGTCCCAAGTTCTTGGGTAAGGCAGGGACCGCAGGGCCCAGCAGGAATCCATGACCCTCCCCCTTCCTGCCAAAGTGGAATCCCTCCCATCTAAAGAGGAGGCTTGGGTCTGGAAGCTGGAATGTAACATCCAGGGCTTTGCACTTGGAGGGGCTGGGATTTGAATCCTCTGCTGCTCATCCACCAGTCCTTGAGCCTCCATGGTCTACTCTTGCCTTGGGATATCTGTGCTTTTGATTATTGAGCAACCCTTGGGGACTCTGTTTTGACATTTGTATCGCATGAACCAAACTTAATGTGAAATTAGAATGTGATCCCAGGTTTGCCCCTTGATGGCTGAGTCATCCCCCCCCCTCACCCATTTCCTCATCTGTAAAATCCTGGCACCTAGCTCTTAGGTCGTCAGAGGACCAGTGAGGTGATCAGGATGGCACTTGCTTAGACTGTGCAGGAGCCCCTAGAACCCTAATTTCTCCACAGAATCTCACTGCAGATGCTTGCATAAGAATGAGCCGCCCCCACCTGTGGCTTCTGGAAACCCACTGGGCCACACTTCCGGGATCTGAGGCAAAGGAGGCACTTCCTGAACCACTTTGCTCATCTATGAGATGAAAACAGAACCTGTCTTCCAGTGGCAGGGGTGGAGTAGGGTGGAGTGATGAGAGTGAGGCACACGGTAGGTGTGCAGGCCACAGCAGCGCATTGGGGTTCCGAAGCAGAAGACCTGCAGGTGAACCTGAGGGGGGTTTCACAGGAAAGCCCAGACTTCTGGCTTCTCTGGAAAATCTGGTAAAATTGAGCCTCCTCCCCACTTGCTCTAAAGTGATTCTGCTTGTGCCTAGGAAGGTTTTTCAGATCAGGAGGAGATGTATTACTGGCCTCTGGCCCTGGGGGCACCCTGAGGGGCTGTGGGTGTTTGCTGAGGGCCTCCCAGGGGAGTAGGCCGGAGCAGGGTGTTCCCAGCCCTGTAGCATCAGAGGTGAGAGTCAAACTCAGAGCCCCTTCCTTGGGCATCCGCTACCCAGTGTGAGCCAGAGCCTACTGGGGCGGGGGAGCAGTCCCAGAGCCCATTTCCTGAGGCAATGTGGTAAGGGCCCTGCCACGTTAAGGAAGCCAGAGCAGCTGACTGCAGAAGAGGGCTCAGGGAGTCTTCGTGGAGGCAGGAGGCAGTCTTGGACCTGAACCCCAAAGGCTGAGCAGGGTTTTGCCAGAGTTAAGGGGTGGTGAGGTCATTTTAATTAGAGTCAGGACAGTCAGAGGTTCGGTAGCTTCAAAGTACATGACTTGATTGCGACTGGAGAATTGCATTTGGAGGGTGTGGGAACGGTAAGGTATTCCCACCATGGCCTTGGGCAAGTCACTTCATTCCTTGAGCCTCAGATGCTCACCCATAAACTGAGGCCTTCCAGTGAAGGCTAGATGATAGTGCACTGAAAAATGCTGAATCCCCTTACGGAAGGAGACATGAAGCGAAGAGACTGTGACAGGGCTGTATGCAAATTAGATGGTATGAAGTGAAGGCTGGGGTATGTCTAGCCCTGAGTTCAGAGATGGGGAGTTTCAGTACAAGCTGGAGACCGCAGAGCTTCTTGTAAGAGGTTAGATGGGAACAGAGCCCCGAAGGACAGAGAAGAGGACTAGATTGGTAGAAAGGAATAGAGAAGGCATCTCAGGCAGGCAGTCCAGCTAAGTGCAGGTGTGAAGGTGGCAGGCAGGGAAGGCCAGTAGGTGCACCATCATGGTTGTGGGAGGACTGGAGAGAGGTGAGCCTGAAAGGCTGGGGGACGCTGGTGAAGCCCAGCCCCAGAGGCAGGCAGCAGGGAGCCATTGCATGTCCTGTCCCTACATAGGCAAGCAGGGAGTGGTCTTAACAACGTAGCGCCTTCCAGTGAGGGGAGGATTTTCTAATTCCTTTTACATAGTGGGAAGAATAAAAGGTCAGAAGGGATATAGAAGGGAGAGATGATGAAAAGGAGTTGGTTAGAGAACGGCATCACCTTGTACATCCCCCATTCATTCTCATGCACACGTAATTTTAACCAATGGATAGAGTTGGGCAGGGACTGCATCAGGAACTCGATCTCCTGTGCTTAGTTATCTGCAGAGTGCCCCTGGGTACCATCTGCAGTCATTGCATTGCTGGCTGCACAGCTGCCATGCAGTAACCGATTGTTGCTGGTCTAAACAAAACTTGATTAAGTATCTCTTTTCCCCAAACTTCCTTGTGGATTGTTTCCATTGGATACCTTTCCTGAAGGGGGATTTCTTACTTTAAGGGAACAGAAATTTTTATGCCTTAGAAGATTTAAAACATACTCTTTCACAGTAATTTTTAAAAATTTCTTTAAATTTTTAAAAAGATTTTATTTGAGAGAGAGAAAGAACAAGTGAGGGATGTGGGGCTCAATCCCAGGACCCTGGAATCATGTGAGCCAAGGCAGACGTTTAACTGACTGAGCCACCCAGGTGCCCCCACAGTAATTTTCTTTATTGTATGGATTTTTTTCTTCTTTTTCTCTTTTATTATTATTTTTTCACCGTGATAAGTGTACTCTTTAACCCCCATCCCCTGTTTCACCCATTCCCCCACCCAGATTGTACAGGGTTTGGGGTTTGTTTTTTTTTTTTTTAAGATTTATTATTTGAGAGAGAGAACGCAGAGGGGAGAGCAAATGAGAGTCTTAAGCAGACTCCACACTGAGCACGGAGCCTGACGCAGAGCTCACTCTCACAACCCTGAGATCACGACCTGAGCTGAAACCAAGAATTGGAGGTTTAACCCACTGCGCCACCCAGGCACCCTGTATAGAGTTTTTTAAAAAGAGCAAATGTACACAAGCATATACAATAAAAAGTGTATCCTCCTGATCCCATACTCTTCCAGTTCTCCCTGAGGACACTTGTTAGTTTCCTGTATATCCTTCCAGAAGTATTCTGTGCAGATACTGTATATATCCAATTTTCAGAAAAATGGATACATAGTTACACTGTTCAGCAAATTGCTTTCCATGTTTTATTTTTATTTATTTTTTTAAAGATTTTATTTATTTATTTGACAGAGAGAGACACAGCGAGAGAGGGAACACAAGCAGGGGGAGTGGGAAAGGGAGAAGCAGGCTTCCCGCTGAGCAGGGACCCCGATGCGGGGCTCGATCCCAGGACCCTGGGATCATGACCTGAGGCGAAGGTAGACGCTTAACGACTGAGCCACTCAGGTGCCCCTTCCATTTTTATTTTTAAATTTGGGGTTATGAACTACACCAAAGAAGCATAGAAAATGACACCATCACACCCCCAGTAGCCCTAAACAGGTTTAACAAATGTTAACATTTTGCACTGGCATCTTGTTTAGGGAGGTAGCCCTATGTTAGTGCAGCCCCATGCGGAGGAGTCCAGTTATTGATCATATGCACACATGATTCTTTTCAGCCTGTGCCCAGCTCTTGGATATTTAAGAGTGTTACTGATTTTTTTTTCTTAAATAATCGATGTGGAGGTAATACCCCCCTTTGTATAATGCTGCCCCGGTATGAAGGCAAAGGGGAACGAAGCTTGGCTGTAGTTTCGGTTCAAATACCTGTTCAGCCACCCTTCATAGCTGTGTGACCTGGGGTGAGTGAGTGACACCCCCCCTTGATCCTCTTGACCCATCTGTAAAATGCTGTAGTAATCCCTACGTTTCATCGCTGCGGGGAGGAGTACAGTAGGAAACTGAAGATTTCTTTGGGCTTAGTTTCCCAACACTCTTAAGCAGGGAGCCCTCCATGGGGGAGACCAAGCTCTACTGGCCACGCGCCGAGAGCTACCAGAGCGCCGGACAACTGCAGCTCCTGCTTCAAACTGTTCCCCGCCCCTTTCCCGGGCCACGCTGGGGGCGGGGCGGTTAAATGTCTCTGTGGCGTCAGCGCAAGCAGGACCAATCCCCCTGCCCCGCAGGCGTTAGCTCGTTTGCGTGGGTTACCCGCTATTGGTCCGTTGGGCAACCCAGGCCGTCCCAGCTTTTTAAAGCTGCCGCGTAGTATAAACAAGGAGATGCAGGGCGGCCAGGCCATGATGTCATCGCGGCGCGGTAGCTCTTGGGGCTGACGTCATCTCCGGGGAGGTTGCCGACCCAAGGCTGTTAGAGCCTTCCTAACCCAGTTGGGCTGGCTTAAGAAGGCCGCTCCTGCCCCGTCGAAGGTCAGTCCCATTGCACTTCAGTGTCCCAGGCGGCGCCCCGTCCCCGAAGAGAAGACCATGACACAGTAAGTCCGGGCTGCGGCTCTCCTAGGGGGACCCATTTCTCTGGCAGGGAAACTGAGCCTCAGAGGCGCGAGTGTTTCGCGAGTTTGCATAGCAAGTTCGAGTTGCAGCCGGTTGTCCTTGCCCACCCCGGGGTCTCCCATCTTTAGCTCAGGCCATGTGGCCCCGCCCCTTGCTTGTGATGACGGCGGTCACTTTAAGTGCAAAGGTGGGGGCAAGAAGGAGGTTTTAAAGAAAATCTGCCTTCCAAGATGGCGTCCCGTTAATCACGTGCCGAGTCGCGGTGAGTGATTGGCTCTCATAGTCCCCGCGGGGCGGAGCTCTTGGCGGGGCTGCCGCGGGCAGCAGCCGGCTACTGTTTGCTGGAATCTCCCGGCGCGCCCCCGCGAGCCCCCCTCCCGCCCGGCGCGCGACCCCGCCGCTTCGAATGTTGTGAATCAAATGTGGGGTTTGTTACATTCCGCTGCCGCCGCGGACAGTTCTTAAAGGGCCAGCCGCCTGCAGCTGCGCAAACCCGGCCGCGTCCTGCGCCGCCTCCCGCTCCCGGAGGGCCTGGGCTGAGAGAGGCAGACCGCGCGTGGGCCTCGCGAGGCGGACGCCGGCGGACCGACAACAAAGAGAGAGCCCCGGAAGGAGCTGGACTGCACCCGGACCGGGGGGTGGGGAGGGGAGCACATTGTTCCGCAGGGCGGGGGCTCTTAAAGGGTCCAGGCAGCCCCCCTCCCTTCTGTCCAGCTTGGCCGTCCTAGATCGGGAACAAAGGAGCCAACGTGTGGCCTGGCGGCCGAAGGTGAGTAGGGGCTAGAGCCCCAACTCCCTATTTCCTCATCCCTGGAACTCCTGTCCCCCTCCCTTGGGACTGGGGGCTGTGATCTAGCTGGCTCCGCAGGGGTTAATCGCGGGCGGTCCAGAGAGGGGACGGAGAGACCTCTAGAATCGAGGAGGATTCCCCCCAACCCCCCAAGGCCAGGTCGAGTCTTCCTTCTCCCGGGGCTGAGTGCCGCGGTTGGAGAGGAAGGAGCCGCCCCCTCCCCCTGCCGCCGCCACTTCCTTTGTTGTTGCTTTTGTCTCACGCCGAGCACATGGTCCGGGATCCTCGGCTCTTAAAGTCACAGCGCTCTGGCCCCAACGCCGCAGTCTGGCCTCCCGCCCCCCATGTCCTTTCGAGCGCGGCATAAATGAGTGAGGGGGGGGACGTGGGGGTCTCCTCCCCGGGCGAGTGTCTGCACCTTGGCCCCCCATCCCCGGGGAGGGGTGGCAGAGGAAGCTCCCCAGAGCCCCGCAACCTGCGTCTGGCCCGCGTTGAGGAGGGGCCGGTCCCTCAGGAGCACTGGTTTCCTCCCACGCTAATGTGACCACCTGGTTTCTTGCGTCTTGTTCCTTCTGGCTTTATTTGGGCGTTCTAGGAAGGAGAGATTTCCATCCCCATTTCACAGCTGTGACAACTGAGGCTCACGGAAGCGGAGAGATTTCCTTGACCAAGGTCATCTAGGGAACCTGGGCTAGCCGAGGACTCCTAGCTCCGAGGCTGATAGTCCTGTCCTCAACTCCCTCCAGGCAGCACACGTTTGGAGAGCTCTGTTTGCCTACCAGCAGTAGTGGCCTAGCCTGCCCCATGGAGGGAGGGGGGGGGGGCTTCTATCGTGCCTGAATCTACTCAGGCTCTCAGGCAAACATTCCCCCCGGGGCAAATGACTTGGCAAGGGTTCCCTAGACTTGGACTAGGATAGTTACATGGGGCACTGGAAGTAGGGAGTTGGCTGCGTCCTGGGGGAAGGGGTGGATGCAAAGTGTGGTGCCTGCTTCCAGGCAAGATTGGATTTAGGGATGGGACCCTGCAGACCCATTTACCCAGACCTCATTGAAAGCACAGCACAGAGGACTATGGAAAGGCAGAGAAATTGGGGGTGGTCACCTGGCCACCCTTGCAGTTTGACCTTGAGCAAATTGCTGCCTCCAACTCTGGGCCTCACTTGTTTCATTCACCACAATAGGGTTAGTAGTGAGTGCCTAAAACAGAAAACTCTCCATCTCCTTTAGGGACTGAAATTAGTTGGGATTAGGTGGTTATTGGGGGCTACTGATGCTAATTAAAGAGTCAGGGGTTGGGGGAATCTGGACCTAGGTGGCCAGCCAAGGAGAACTAGTTCAGTCTTTCTCTGGCTTTGTGGGCTAGAGCAAGTTACTTCCTTTCTCTGGGTCTCAATTTCCTCAAATATGAAGTGGGTGTGTCCCCTCTGCACAACCTCTTTTCTTAGTAGGGCTTCCAAGAACCAGGGGTCCCTCCCTTACCAGCTGGGGTTTTCCCCTAGGGAGGCATATTTCCCAGCTATCTCCTGCAGAGCTTGAAGTGGCACCTGATTTCTGTTTGTGGAGGTCAGCCTCTCTCAATTTATAATAGTGATCACTCACACCTCCACTTTGCCAATCACCTCTGCCTTTGAGCAGCCCTTCCCAGTCCACTGGCAGGTGGTTATCTGGCTGTTCCATCTTAGAGGTGAAGAAGCTGAGGCTGAGCGGGGAAGTGATGCGCCCAATCCTCAGCCAAGACTCTAGCCAGAGTCGGGGTATCGTGTGTAAACTTTGGCACCATCATCTATAGCTGGAGGCCCTTTGGACTGCTGGTTTGGTTTCTCAGCTCCTTGCTACTTCCTTTTCCTGAGGAATGGGTGTTTTTGAAGGGGCTGGCCAGAGCAGATTCCCATGTGCCTGGGCCTCTGTGGCATCCACGCCCCCCAGACTTTTGCACAAGAGCAGCCATTGAAGCCACTGGGTCGTGTCCTAGTGCACTCACAACTCTGGCTGACAGGCTCTGGACCTCACCTCTCTGGGCCTCAGTGTCCTTACTTCTGAGGGCTGCTGTGAGGACTCAAGATGGCATGTGTGAAGTGTCATAGTTATTACTGTTAATGTTTTTCATCAGCAGGACTGTGGTCTCCCAGGATCTCTGAGGTCATTTAGAGCAGAGGTGCCCAAACCTGGCTGTGCCATAGAAACTGCTGGAGAATTTGGTAAAATGTCTAGATAACCTTGTTCCCCACCCCTCCAAAGATTCTGATCCAGAAGGTCTGGAGTGGCCTGGGAGTTTCTTGTTTCAGATATTTAGGGGTGTACTCTGAGTCTCTCTTGGCCTTTGTTTGCTCGGCTGAATTGTCAGCAAGAATCAGGAAGGCTGTGGGTGTACACATGTGTGTAAGGATGTGCACTCTGCTCACACCGGGGCTTACAAACCTAGTCACCTATGGTGGGCAGGTAGAGCATGGGCATTGGGTGGCCTGGAGAGAAAGCTCGTGCTCCGGTGAGGGGGACCCAGCAGAAACGAGGGCCTAATGGGACCAGATTTTCTGCTTTTGTTTCCTCTCAGGAAAGACCTGATTTTTATGTAATCTCCCAGTTTTTAATCATGGGCACCAATTTCACTCCTGCCAGACTGTGTGATTGGCTCTCAAGTGTACATTTACCACATCAGTGCTGGCCACAAGCTGGTCACTGGGCTCTGTCCGCCCTTCTGCCAAGTGCCAGAGCCCAAGTTAGGCAGGAGAAATGTGAACTCCAGCTCTTACACTTCTGGCTGTGGCCATGGCGAGCTTCCCCTGCAGACTGGCTTTGAGAGTTAGGGTCCAGGCTTGTAAAGCCGAGCACAGAGGAGGTGTTCTTGCCACTGCTAGCAGGAAGGAACAAGGCGTTGAGGATATGGTGCACTGGCTCCCTAGCTGTGTCAGCAGGGGGGTAACACTGAAAGCTGGCTGTCAGAGATGCATAGGAGTTTTGTCAGATGGAGAAGGGGCGGACGGAGGAGGCCTCCCTGTGGCAGGAACAGCAAAGGGCTGGTCCTATTTGATGCAGCCTTCAGCTCTGCAAGGCCTGACAGGTTCCAGAGTTTTCTCTGCCAGGGCCTCATCCCAACCTCTGGAGTTAACAAATGGTCCCCCAGCTTATCCCACCTGGACCCCCAGCTCCTACCAGAGGGAGGAGACCTGCCCCACCCCATTACCGCTCAACTTCCTCCTTTAGGTTCTTGCTTCCCCTTTTTTCTCAGCAAGCCCCACTGCCACTTGGGGGCTGTGTTAAGCCCCCAGAGCAAGGGCCTGGCTGTATGCCAGACTCACCCACCCACCAGTGGCCGCTTCCTTCATTACCTCCTGCAAAGCGCTTGGGCAGGACCCCTTCTTTGCTGGCAGCAGGGTGCAGTGAGAGGCTTGTGGCCAGCTCACCTCCCAGCTTTGACACTTGGGCAAGTCCCTTTCAATTTCTTTGAGCCTCAGTTTTCTATTCTTTGAAATGGACCTTGAAGAGTAGATGAAGTCACATGTGGGTAGGCACTGTGGGAGCTGGTTATGGAAAGAAAGAAAACAAACTGACTTGAATTGGGAGCCCCTGAGGGCAAGAACTGGGTCAGAACCTCTTACCTGGCAGTAGTGGAAAGAGAAGGCCTGACTGGAATCCGCCCCCAGAGCCGACCCAATGGAAGGGAGGAAGCTGGAGTGCCCTCCCAGGAACCCCAGCTTCTTGGAGGTTGAAGTTGTAGACTGCCACAACAGAACAGGGTGCCCTGGGGTCCCCATCCTGAGGGAGGCTTACTGGAGCCACTTGGCCTGGAAGCATGCTGGCCAGCCCTCCTAACTCACCACAACCCTGAAGGGGAACTTGATCCCATTTCGTAGAGCAGGAAACTGAGACCTGGGCTCCCTGTTCCTGATCTGTCATCCCTGATCCCCAGTGCCCAAAAAGAAGGCCAGACCCAGAGTGTACACTGCACATGGAGTACAGGGACGTGATGGATATCAGTAGCCCTTAGAATCAGACTGCTGAAGTTTAATTCTGTCTCCGCAATCCCTAATGGGGCAAGTGCCTGGACTTCTGTGTGCCTCAGTTTGTTTATCTGTTTGCCTCATAGGGTTGTGAACCCTGGCCCAGCCCCTCCACCCCTCTGCCACCCCTGATGCGACCATGGGCTCTGGCAGTGACTAGGTGGCCACCCTCTGCCCCTGTGGGTCAGCGGCGATTCTCTGTAGGACCCGGCACTACCCCGGGCCAGCTCCGGGGAAGGTAGGAAGGAATCTCCTAGTCCTACAGAGCCTAGAGCCCCCGGTACTAGGGCTGTCAGCTTGGGTTGGGGCATAGGGACCAGGGGTGGCAGGGCATAGGGCCCTGAGTGGTCTTCCTTCCCTAGTGGGTAGTGACCTGGCTTCTCTCCATGCTCTCTGAATGAGTGGCTCCCCTCAGTCCTACTGGGGCCTCCTCTCTGTGGTGCAGCCCCGGCCGCGAGGGCCCCCTGGCCAGCCTGCCTGCCCAGGATGAGCGCTTACCCTCCCAGCAGCCACCACCCCGACCACCACACCTCCCTGTAGAGGAGCACCGAGCCTCGGCTCCTGCCGGCAGGAGCCCCCGAATGCTGCACCCAGCCTCCCAACAGAGCCCGTTCATGGTTGATCTCCACGAGCAGGTAGGCACAATACTCATCACCTCTGTTTCCCCACTCTGCTGGCCCCTCCCCACCAGCCTCTGGCAAGTCTGTCTGAGGACCAGAGGTAGCAGAACCCTGATTTCCCCTTAACTCTTTGCATGTTCAGTGAGGCATTATTAGCCCTGTTTTACAGGTTGGTAAATTGAGGCCCAGAGAAGGGAAGGGCCTTCCTTGGGACTACACAGTGGATGAGTGATAGAGTTGGAAGCCCCTCCCAGGTTCCCAGAGGGTTCTCTCTGCCCTCTAGGGCTTGGGACAGGGATATAGGCAGGTGTGTACCTAGGTAGGACCCAGCTAGAGAAGGGAAGGGAGGTGGCCCAGCAGGGCTTTCTCATTTGGGGGCAGCAGCATGGCCGTTTCCTCCCTACACTTCCCGGGTTTCTCTCTACCCACAGGTGCACCAGGGACCCGTCCCTCTGTCCTACACAGTCACCACAGTGACGACCCAAGGCTTCCCCTTGCCTACAAGCCAACACATCCCTGGCTGCAGTGCCCAGCAGCTCCCAGCATGCTCCGTGATGTTCAGCGGTCAGCACTACCCCCTTTGCTGCCTCCCACCCCCGGTGAGTGAGTGCCTCCACCTCCTGCCCCATCCCCACTTGAAAGCCCCAGACATAGGCCAGCAGCAGAAGCAAGCTGAGCTTATGACACCCATCCAGGCTATCAGAGCACCTACCCAGCTCCAGGCCTCAACCCTGCCCAGAAAAGGCATGTGTGCATTCACGAATAGTGAGAGGGCACCTCAGGGTTCAGGGACCTTCCTGCACCCTAGTGCCTGCCTTATAGTTTGGAATTGTAACTATGGGCCTTAAGAGTGTAGTGTCCTGCCTGGGTGGCCTCTGGCAGGGGTAGGAGGGGCCAGAGGGCTTCAGTGGGGACCTCTCGATGGATGGAATGGCCCCTGGCCTTTGGCACAGGCATAGGCCCAACCGAGAGCCTAGAAGAACATTCTACAGCCTCCCAACCCCTCCCTCTCTTGGCAGCTGATCCAGGCGTGTACCATGCAGCAGCTCCCTGTGCCCTATCAGGCCTACCCCCACCTCATCTCCAGTGATCACTACATCCTGCACCCCCCACCGCCAGCCCCACACCCCCAGCCCGCCCACATGGCACCTCTTGGGCAGTTTGTATCGCTGCAGGCCCAGCACCCGCGAATGGTGAGTCTGGGCAATGGGTTTGATGCTATAGGGGATGGCATGGGGGGCGGGGCTTCCCTCCTTACTGACTCTGGCTGGCCCACCCCCGCTTCTTCCAGCCCCTGCAGCGGCTTGACAACGATGTGGACCTGCGGGGGGACCAGCACCCCCTGGGGAGCTTCACCTACTCCACCTCTGCCCCAGGCCCAGCCCTGTCCCCATCTGTGCCCCTGCACTACCTGCCCCATGATCCACTGCACCAGGAGCTGTCTTTCGGTGTGGTAAGTAGCGCCCCCAGCTAGACTCTACTGTCTAGGGTGATCAGGAAACAGGCCCGCTGGGCTGACCTGCACCTGGCACCCCTCTCGTAGCCATATTCCCACATGATGCCACGGAGACTGAGCACTCAGAGATACCGCCTGCAACAGCCGCTGCCCCCACCACCCCCACCGCCACCCCCGCCACCGTATTACCCCAGCTTCCTGCCCTACTTCCTGTAAGTACCAGCACATCTGCCCCAGAGCCGTGGTGCTCTGGTCTCCTGGGACCTCCAGTTGTTGGACCCAAAGGCCCATGGGGTGCTTGGGGCCTCTAAAGCCATCTGGCATCCCCACCAAGCCACACACATTCTCAACACTCACCAGCTGGGTTCCTGGCCCTCTTACAATGTCCTGGGACAAACACTGGAGTCCCTGGTGTGAACGGTGCAGAGCTCTGGGCTTTGTTTCACAGAGGGAGTCGGGAGCAGCTCTGCACCCCCTACACCTACTGACCTTGACCCTGGGCCCCCACACCTGTCTCCCCCCCCCCCCCCCTAGCTCGATGCTGCCAATGTCACCAACAGCAATGGGGCCCACCATCAGCCTGGATCTCGATGTGGATGACGTGGAGATGGAGAACTATGAGGTCCCGTGGAACACTGTCCTGGGAGGTGGGAGCTTGGGGGACCTCCGGCCCTGAGCATTAATGACCCTCCCCTCCTGCCTGGATACAGGCCCTCCTGAACCTGGCAGAGCGGCTAGGAGATGCCAAGCCCCGGGGCCTCACCAAAGCGGACATCGAGCAGCTCCCGTCATACCGCTTTAACCCAGACAGCCATCAGTCAGAGCAGACACTGTGAGTACTGTGCCCCCATCTCCTGCCCCTCTGTGAGCACAGGGGGGCTGCAAGGGGACCCCTTCCTCTAGGGGGTTTTGTGCTATGCAATGAGCCTCCCCCTGCCATCACTGTGGAGGTGACGCTCTCTGCTCTCTCCCAGGTGTGTTGTCTGCTTCAGTGACTTCGAGGCACGGCAGCTGCTCCGAGTCCTCCCCTGCAACCACGAGTTCCACACCAAGTGTGTCGACAAGTGGTTAAAGGTAATGCAGCCCAGGCCAGATTCCAGGTGTTCATCATGTGGTGAGGGAGGGGGGTGGACCTTGGAGGGTTTCCCTTCTTGTCATCATCTAGAAGTCCAGGCTCTGTTCAGGGGTCAAGTCCCAGAAGCAGAACAGACCCAGCTGGGGTGGGGGACAGGCAAGAGTGGAGCCTGATGTGTGGCTGCTCCCCCAGGCCAACCGGACGTGTCCCATTTGCCGGGCCGACGCCTCCGAGGTGCCCAGGGAGGCTGAGTGAGGCCCACAGCTGCCCAGGATAAACCCTGCCCGAAGCTCTGGAAGCTCGGGTTGGGGGGACCTGGGGAGGACGGGGAGGGAGTGGCCCAGGCCTGCCCCGTCATTCCCGCCTGCATCTCCAGAGCTGGTGCCAGGGTCAGCCCCAAGAGAAGCCCCTGCAATAAGCCCCTGCATTTGCCAAGCTCCAAAGACTCCTGCCCCGATCTGCCTGCCAGTCTGCCCACCACGGAGCTGCCTGAGTGTCCCTAACTCAGTCTCCCTCCTGTTTGCCCTCGAGTCCGTCTCCTTTACCTGCCAACCCTAGGAACCAGGGGTCTATCCCCCCAAGCTCAGCTAGGGGAGATCCTCAGCCCCAGGATGGGCAAAGAGGGCTCCGTCCTGGGTTGCCTGGTCTCTTGCACTGAAATGGTATGCCGTCTGACTGGGTGGCACTGACAGGCGTGCGGACAGAGGGTGGCATGAGGCCATTTCCTGAGCCCCAGGCCTGGGTCCTCTTGCTTTGACCCCAGACAGACTCCGGCAGCCAGCCCTACCCAGGCTGCTGTGAGGGTTGGCTCCCTGAAGGACCCTCACCCCAGTCACAACATTCCAGCCCACCCCCAGGCTGGAAGATATCAGAGCCAGCCTCCTGAGCAGATGGGAGACAGGCCCTGAGCTGGGGTGGCCTGTATCCTGAGGGGGCCTGGGCCATGCAGGGGAGAGAGACCTGTGTTCCTGGTGGCCACCCCTTCCTGGCAGTGATGGCGGCCAGACACACGCCCAATGTCCCCTCTCTGTTGTTTTGCATGAACGTGAGGAGCAGCAGTTTTTGTTTATTCATTTGGCCCAAAACCGCGTGTAGGATTTGGGGGTGTGGATTTTTAAATAATTTGTTTCCTTTTGGTTTAATGGGGGATATAGGGACCAACCAGGACCAAGTGCCCAGGGGGCTGGGAATGGTCTGGTGATGCCGCCTGGTCTGCATGCATGTGTGCGGCTGGGGCTGGGCTGGGCGGCTGGCAGTCATGGGTGGGGTTGGGGGGTGGTTTGTGCTCAGCTGATAACTGCCATGCACTGTACTGCACACGTCCCCAGAGCCTACCGGGACCGTACGCTTTTCAGGGCATTTCTCCCTCCAGCCAGGGCCCGTCTCCCACCTGACTGGGCGAGTCTCCTCCAAGGAAGTCCCAGGAGGACAGGGACCAGGGAGGGCGTGGACCCCATCTCCAGGGGCCCCCTCCCAGCCTGAGTCCTGCCCTCCAAGGTCTGGAGGAGGCCCCCTTATAGGGTCTGGCTGAGCTCCCACCTTCTCTTTCCCCAGTCCCATTCCTTTCCTGTCCTACCCCCAGCTGGGGTTGCTGCCCCGAACGAACCGCGTGTGGGGCCGGCACATCCTAGCAGGCAGCCCCTGGCGCCTGCTGCCTCAGGGATGCTCCAACCACCCTCGTTCTCCCTGCGGCGGCCCTGGCTCCCTGCCTCCCCTCAGCCTGCCATGGGGCCCCATCAGCCTGGCCCCACCCCCGTGGAGAACCCAAAGTCTTACTGTATATAAAACTCCAGGTGATGTTTCTATATTTATAGCAGTGTGGAAACCCCACGTGTTTTACACAGAGAACCACCCTCTCCAAACCCCCCCTCCCTTTCCCACCCCAACAAAAGGTTTTCAGAATCCTTAAGGTTCCTGGGGCAGGCGGAAACAGGCTCACGGATTGTGTGTCGGCTGCAGCAATGATTCCAACGAGCAGCTATGGGGGGGGAAACACAACACTTTAAAAAAAATCATTAAAAAAAAGATTTATAAAACAATTATTTAGGATGTTTGTGATTTGCCGACCTTGCTATAGATGCCATGTTACCAATGATTTCCTGTGGTGGGGGCTTGTCATTGTTTACTCTTTTATTTACCAACTTCTGGCCTAGGCATGACAGTGGGCACCATCCCCCAGCCCTGGCTGGGCCCAGCACCTGTGTTCTGTGTTAGAAAGGTTATATATATATATATATATATATACACACACATATATATATATATATTTAATTACATATATATATATAAAAATATATGTAATTTGGGGGGGCCCTGTTCCTTGCACATTTTACAGTTACCTCATTTTTCCCATGTATGTATTTGAGAAAATGCTAATATATAGAGAAAAAAATGGTTCTTAAAGCTTAAATGTGTGGTTTTTTCCATTCCATTGGATTCACATTGGTTTGTAGCATTTAACATAACTAGTATGTTGTATTATATATATGTGTATACTGATTGAAATTTTTAACAGATTTGTACTTTTTTTAAAATGAAAGTTGCTAGTTCTGCTTGACCAAGTAGTGCAATCATTATTTTTTTTAATATTGTTGCTGATTTCAGAGGGATATTCACTAATAAATGTATGATGTATATCAAGTACTGCCCAAGCTGCCTTTGGTTACCTGTGTTCTTTTGGTGGGAAGTGGGGGTAATGTCAGTCTGAGAGTGGGCAGGGGATAGGGATGAGGTGGGCAATAAAGATTGTTCTCTGCTGTGGCACCTTGGGGGTACTTCCTGATCAAGAGGGTCTGCCAAGCCAGGTTAGTGATGACATTCTGGGCCATCTGCTTCACACTCAAATTAGGCAGGATTCTGTTGGCAAGTGGCAGAATTCCATCAAACTGGTTTTAGGAAAGCGTTATTTGTTGGTCTGTCATTTCAGTTCTGGAGGTAGGTTCTGCCTCAAGCATGACTGGATTGGGCTTGAGTATGTTATAAACCAAGGTCTCCTTCATTTTACAACTTTGTTTTGAAGGAGCTGCTTCTGTGTGGTGGTTCTTGGTAGCTCTAGTTCAGTGTCTTCTAGTTTGGCATCATTCCATGGGAAAACCATTTTTTTCCCCTGGAATTCTAATGGGATTTCTGGGATGGAGTCTTGTTAGACCCAATTTGGATTGTGGGTACATCCCTGAGCCATTCACTACCATGCCAGGGAGCTACACCAGCATGATTGGCCTGACTTGCATTACATACCCTCCCACCCACGCCCTACTAAGACTACATGAACCAGAGTCCCTTATCCCCAGGCTCAGTGGGGACTAGGGGCCTGAGAACCACCCAAGGACCAGGTTGGTGATGCGGTTACATTCCTCTTACCCATGATGGTATATGGTGCTGCAAGGATATCCGCTGACTTGTTAGCATGTCAAAGCAACATGATCTGGAGCAGGAGCAGTGAGCTGGGGTCAGGAGACCCAGGACCTGGTGTCTTTGTGATGCCACTATCTGTAGCCTTGGTCAGGTCACTTCTCTTTCAGCCTCTGGATCAACTACAAAATAAGGGACAGTTAGTTGAGTGGTTCTCTGTGTTTCAGAGATGGTGCTATGGGAGCATAAGGGGGATTAAGAAGGGTTCTGTGGTTAAACAAGTTTGGGAAATAACACACTAAAGGTAATAGGAGCCTATGTTGCAGGGCTTCTCTGAGCCTTGGTTATGCTGATGTGTATTATAAGCCTCTAGGAATGGATACTGTGAGCAACACTTCCTATATTGGGCTTGTTTGGCTACATGTAGTGCTCAAATTGCATTCTCTGGGGCACACTGGGCAGTGCTGGACTAGACCAGTGATAGCAACGGAGTTCCCAGGGCCCTAGTCTGAAGTCTAGGGAAGTCTCTAAGCTTTTTTCAGTATTTAAAAAAACCTACGGGAAAGAAGACATGATCTTATCATTTGATGGAAAAAAAACTTGCCAAAATTGAACATTTAGTCATGACAAAAACTCTCAGCAAGCTAGAAATAAGAGGGTAACTTCCTCAACTTGGTAAATAACATCTACAAAAAACCCGACAGCTAACATGTAATGTGTGAAAGACTAGGTGCTTCACCCTTGAGATCAGGACAAGGCAAGGATATCCACTCTCACCACTCCTGTTCAATATCATACTGGAACTCCTAGCCAGCACAATAGGATAAAGCAAGAAAAAGGAAATAAAATTAAACACACAGACTGAAAAGAAAATTGTCCCTATTTATAAATTTGATAACCTATAAATTATCAAAATCCCATGGAGATTTTGGAAATCCCAAGGAATCTACAAAAAAAAAATAACTTAGAACTAAATGAGTTCATCAGGTCATAGGTTACAAGATGAATATAAAAATTAATTGTATTCTATATAGTAGCAATGAACACATGAAAATCAAAATTTATATAATCACTAAAGATGAAACATAAATCTAACAAAACATGAGATTTGTGCATTGAAAATCAATAAACACTGGATGAAAGAAATCAAAGACTTACATAAATGGAGAAACATGGTCATATTCTCAGATCAGAAGACTCAGCAATAGGTAAAGATTGTGATTTCTTCCCATATTGAACTATGGGTTTAATGCAATTCCTATCAAAATTCTGGCAGGGTTTTTTTGGTTTTTTTTTGAGATGACATTCTTCAAAATTTAAATGAAAAGGCAAAGAAGTAGCTAACTTTGAAAAACAAGAATAAAGTGAGAAGACTCACCATACCTGATTTTAAGAGTTGCTGCAGATCTGCATTAAGACAACATGGCAGAGAGAGAGACAAGTAGATCAATGGAACAGAAGAAAGACCCCAGAAACAGACCTGCACAAGTATGGCCAGCTAAGTTTTGAGCTTCAATGAAGGATAGGCTTTTCAATAAATAATAATGTAGTTGGGCATCCATAAAAAATTTAAAAAGGATCTTAAGTCCCAATACAAAAATGAACTCAAAATAGATCATAGATTTAAAGGTAAAACATAAAACTGGAAAACTTTGAGAAGAAAACAAGTGATAATCTTCACTAGGACCTAGAGCTAGGTGAAGAGATCTTAGACATGACACTGAAAGCAATCCATAAAAGAGAAAAAAGTGATAAATTGGACTTCACCAGAAACTAAATGCTTAATTTGCAAGTCACATGTGAGAAATTACTCATATCAGATAAATAAAGAACTCTCAAAACTCAACAAAAGACAGTCCAATTAGAATATGGGCAAAAGACATGAACACATTAAGAGGATATTTCATTTGTTCACCACCATAAGCTATTAGGGAAATGCAAATTCAACCACAATAAGATTATTACACACCTGTAAAAACAATGAAGATAATAAATAGTGACAATATCAAATTCTGGTGAGGATGCAGAGGAACTGGATTTCTCAGACATTGCTGACAGGAATATTAAATAGTACAGCCATTCTGGAATATAGTCTGGCAAGTATCTTTTTAACATTTATTTTGATACAATCTATCATAAATAAGTCAGTAGAGGTTCCACTCTGCCACTGAAGCATCTGTGAAGAGCCCTGGACCATTCAACTAATGAGCGTCTAAAGGACGTCCCATCTTTTATCCCAGCCACCACACACACCTTCCATGTTGTTCCTGTTCATTAATTGCTTCCAAATCCAGATGATCAAATAATTCTTCATCCCCTAAGTAAACTAAAAAGGGTTGGTTCAGACATTCCAGGATCTGCACCCCTCTTAAATCCCAGGTGAATCATGAGAGGAACAAGGCTTCAGTGGGTGGCAAATTGGCCACCCTTGAAGAGCTGCTGCAGCCTCTGCTTGGCCTCTTTGTTCAGCTTCACCATGGCGACAGCCTGGTAGTTTCCTCTAAAACTAAACATATACTTACTAAATGACCCAGCACTCCTGGGCATTTATCCCAGAAAAATGAAAACATGTCCACACAAAAACACGTACACAAATGTTCATAGCTGCTTTATTCGTAATCACCCCAAATAGGGAACAACCTACATGTCCTTCAGTGAGCAAAGTTAAATTGTGATCCATCCAGATCACGGAATACTACTTAGCAATAAAAAGGAACAAACTAGGGGATCCTGGCTGGCTCAGTCAGTGGAGTGTGCGACTCTTGATTCGAGGTCATGAGTTCAAACCCCACATCTGGTGTAGAGATCACTTAAAAAAAAAAGGAACTATTGATACATGCAACAACTTGGATGGATCTCAAGGGAATTATGCTGAGTGAAAAAAGCCAATCACAAAGGTTATATATATCAATATTAGGAGAGATGGAGAATAGATTAGTGGTTGCCAGGGGTTAGGGATGGCGGAACAAGGGTGTGTGTGTGTGTGTGTGTGTGTGTGTGACTATAAAGGGGTAGGAGGGTTAAGATCTTTGTGGCAATACAATGGTTCTGTATCTTGATTATGGTGTGGTTACATGAATTTATATAAGTAATGAAATTGACAACTACAAACACACAAATGGGTGGATGTAAAATATGAAATCTGTGGATTATATCAATGTCAATTTTCTGGTTTTATGTAAGAGGTTATCATTGGGTTACATAAGGGTTACATAAGACCTTTTTGTAATATTTTTACAACTTCCTATAAATCTATATTTATTTCAAAATAAAAAGAAAAAAAAGCCTGTGGAAATTGGATAAAGGCCGACATTATGAATCAGATTAAAATCCTATCATTTTTGTACTACACATAGAAAATCCTAAAGACTCCACCAAAAGCTAAAAGTAATAAAAGAAATAAGTGGCAGAATACAAAATTAATATCCAGAAATTGGTAGTGTTTCTATACACTAATAATAAAGTAGCAGAAAAAGAAATTTAAAAAAAAATCCTATTTACAATCGCACCAAGAAGAATAAAATACTTAGGAATAAACTTAACCAAAGAGGTGAAAGACTTGTACTCTGAAAACTATAAAACACTAATGAAAGAAATTGAAGATGACACAAATGGAAAGATATTCCATGCTCATGGATTGGAAGAATTAATATTGTTAAAATTTCCATATTACCCAAAGCAAGCTACAGATTCAGTGCAATCCCTATCCAAATACCAATAGCATATTTCAAAAAACTAGAACAAAAAATACTAAAATTTGTATGGAACTACAGAAGACCCGAATAACCAAAGCAATCTTGAGAAAGAAGAACAAAGCTGGGGCTATCACAATACCAGATTTCAAGACATACTATAAAGCTGCAGTAATGAAAACAGTATGGCAATGGCACAAAAACGGACACATAGATCAGTGGAACAGAATAGAGAGCCCAGACATAAACCCACAATTATATGGTCAATTAATCTATGACAAAGGCAAGAATACACAATAGGAAAAAAACACTCTCTTTAATAAATGGTGTTGGGAAAACTGGACAGCTACATGTAAAAGAATGAAACTAGACCACTTTCTAACACCATGCACAAAAATAAACTTGAAATGGATTCAAGACCTAAATACGAGACCTAAAACCATAAAAATCCTAGAAGAGAGTACAGGCAATAATTTCTCTGACATCAGCTGTAGCAACACTTTCCTAGATATGTCTCCTGAAGCAAGGGAAACAAAAGCAAAATAAACTATTGAGACTACATAAAAATAAAAAGCTTTTGCACAGCAGAAGAAACCATCAACAAAACAAAAAGACAACCTACCGAATGGGAGAAGATATCTACAAATGATATATCTGATAAGGGGTTAATTTCCAAAATATATAAAGAACTTATACAACTCATCACCAAAAAACCCAATCTGATTAAAAATGGGCAAAGGACCTGAATAGACATTTTTCCAAAGAAGACATACAGATAGGCAACAAACACATGAAAAGATGCTCAACTCCAACATCACTAATCATCAAGGAAATGCAGATTAAAACTACAATGAGGTATCACCTTACACCTGTCAGAATGGCTAAAATCAAAATGACAAGAAACAAGTATTGGTGAGGATGTGGAGAAAAAGCAACTGTTGGTGGGAATGTAATGTAGTACAGCCAACTGTGGGAAACCTAGAGGGACCTAGAAGGTATTATGCTAAGTGAAATAAGTCAGACTGAGAAAGACAAATACCATATGACGCCACTCATAAGTGGAATCTAAAAAAAATTATTAAACAAAAAGCAGAATCAGACCTATAAATACAGAGAACAAACTGATGGTTGCCATAGGGGAGGTGGGTGGGAGGATGAGCAAAATGGGTGAAGGGGAGAGGGAGAGACAGGCTTCTAGTTATGGAATGAGTAAGTCATGGGAATAAAAGGCACAGCATAGGGAATATAGTCAATGCTATTGTAATAGTGTCATGTGGTGACAGCAGCCACACTTGTAGTGAACATAGCATAATGTATAAACTTGTTAACTCACTAAGCTGTACACCTGAAACTGATGTAATGTTGCATGCATGTCAACTATACTCAAATAAAAAATAAATTAAAAAAAATTTTTTTTAAATCCTGTCATCTTGGGACTCCTGGGTGGCTCAGTTGGTAGAGCATGCGACTCTGGATCTCAGGGTCGTGAGTTCAAGCCTCACTTTAGGCATAGAGCTTACTTAAAAAAAAATTAAATATTTTAAAAAATCCTATCACCTTTGGGCTGTAGTTCTGTTCCTTGAAGGTGTGGCAATGGGGGGTGTGGGTGGGTAGAAGGTCATTCTGGTTACCACTGTTCTATCAGAAGCTCTGCCTGCCAGCAACTACAACTAAGCCTGGCCCATGGTAGCCATTTCTTGAAGAATGAATGAATTGGCAGTAAAGTGTGTCTTTAATAACAATTGGTAGAATTGGTAACATCTCTCCAAGCGTTGCACACCATAGGTCCCTGGAGGGAGGAAGATAGAGCTCCAGGAACAGATACTTTCTGTGCCTCGGAACCCTTTGAACTCAGCCTGTGTACTGATGGGAAAGACTTTCAGAGTTCTTCTCTGGGCACAGAAGGTGTAAAAGCTACATACTCTATAAGGGCAGTTTAACTGCCACTGAGTCCTCAGCACCTTGTAGGGTGCTCTGCATGTTGTTTGTGCTAAATAAAGTCATTCAACAGAACTGGCTGTTTCTGCCCAAAGCCATGTACTGTTCTAGGCAGTGGGGGAACTCCAGTGAATGAGACAAAGTTCCTGCCTCCAGGAAGCTGGCATTCCAAAATAGACAATATGTAAGTAAAGAATAACTTCAAATTATCACAAGGGTCATGATAATGGGGTGGTCTCCTAGAGGAGGTGACATTGAGATCAGTGAGACCTGAATGATGAAGAGGAGCTAGTCAGGAGAAAAGCATTCCAGAGGAGGGAAAAGAATGTGCAGAGGCCCAGAGGCAAGAATGAGTTTGGGCAAGAGCACAGGATGAAGTTGAAGAGATGAAGTTGAAGAGGAAGTCAGGGGCCAGGTCCCAGAGAGCCTTATAAACCATAGTGTTTCATTTGCTCTTCAGCTCCCTGAATTGAGGCACGCATTATCTTTGGTTTCCCTTTGGAGGAGCTACAGCTCAGGGAGGCCCCAGGATAGCCCTAGGCCCAGGTAGAAAATGGGAGAGTCAGGATAATCTGGTAGTCTTTCCACTCACGCATTCTCCAAGTCAGAAAACCCACTTCCGAAAAACCCAAAAAGAGGTCTCCTTCAGTCTGTTTCCCCACCCCCCTCCATGTTCCACTGCCACCTTACAACTTCTTGGGATGCAACAGGAAGAGTCTTGTCTCTTCTTTTCCTTTTTTTATGAATGGGGAAACTGAAGTCAGACTGATTGCAGTCCTAAAGATAAACCGCCTTTGTCATTTTACTGGAAGATGGGTGATGTCAAAGAAATGGGGTTCCATACTTGTCTTTCCCTCCTCGCACCTGCCTCTCCAGCTTCCCTAAGGGAGGGGATGGAGGTGGTAGAAGAACTATTATCCCAATCTCGTCTCACTCTTGTCAGCCCCTGCATCTCCCTCCTTCCTTCAAGTCAAACCAGGTTCTCATGGTTTCTCCAACATGCCGTTTTTACCCCCGTGTTATGCATGCTGTTCCCCCTGCTTGGAACACTATTCACATTTCGTGAGTGCCCACCATGTTGACGAGTTGTCCCTCAGGGGGTCCTTCTTCGGTTTTCTTTACTGTAAAACTGTTACTACTTCCTTCATAGTTCCTGCTGAGGAAAAGGAGGCTCAGAGATGGGAGGGGACTTGCCAAAGATCCCAAAGCCAACACACAGTAGAGTTGGAATCAAGGGATCAAGCCCAGGTCTGTCTACCCACCCCTGCAGCCTTTGCCCCTGAACCACACTATGTTGCCTCAAATGCTTTAACTTTTCCTGGTAAGCATGCTCCTTTTCCAAAGTTCAGTTTGAATGTCCCCTCTTCAAGTGAGCTTCCCCAGATCCCTCCCTCAAGCCAGAGCAGGCCACACTTCTACTCTGCTTCCACAGCCCACCATGCAGACGGCTTTTCCCCACACATCTCACCTGTTATGATCAATCCAGCTAGCTGCCCATGTCTCTGCTTCAGTAGACCAAGGGCCATCACAGTCACGTTCCCAGATCCTAACAAAAGGGCATGGATACAGTAGGCATCAGTGAGGGTTTTCTCAACAGGTGATTGAATAAGTGAACAAATGAACTGCGGGGAAGAAAAGCATGTGGGAAGATGATCCCAGTCCCGGGGCCCAGGTGTTTGCACAGGCCCTGCCCTCTCTTTCTTTCCAGTGTCCCAACATAGTGAATTAACTGTTAACTGTCCCATATCCAATGATCTTTCTGTACGAATGATGATTCCTTGAACCATCCCCTCCTTGGCTTCCATAGTTCTGACAAGCTGGGGCAAACCCATTGGCTTCTGCTGTTCTTTCAACCTCAGATCAAGTCTCTGACAGAGAAGTGCACGCCGGGAAAGCCCTCTGAACAACAGACGGCTCACTGCTGGTCAGTGCTCAACACAATGGCAGGTTGCTCAGCCAGAAATTAGCCACATCTGCTGAGCATGAATGGATTTATTTTAGCAAATGTATAAACATTTTATATGATTTTAACCAAAGTATATCCAGGAAAAAAAAAGCTTGAAGCAAATATGCCAAAATATTAATAATTTGGTGTAGTAGGAATGTGAATAAGGGTTATTTTCTTCTTTATACTTTTCTGCAATTTTTTAAAAAGAAAACGCCCTGCCATATATGGGGTGCAACTAAGCACAAAAACCGCAATCTACTTGCCAATTATGTTCCTGCCTCCCAAAGGTGGGAGTCCTGACATCCTACGGATGTCCTCTACCTCTGACAACACCCTCCCACCAACCCTCCTTTTCTGAAACCTGGACCTCACCCTTTCTGAGATTTGACTTTCAATTCTGGGATATACCCCCATAGTCTTTCAACACATGTTTTTTTTCCTTAAATTAGCTGCAGTAGTTTCCTGTTTGTTACTTGCAACTAATGATCTCTAATATAGGCACCAAAAGGTAAGAGCTATCTGAAAAGATCCAGGTGTATGTTCCTAAATTGGTATACCATGCTAATTATTTATATCTACTCTCCTTGCCAGTACCTGTGTTTTTTTGTTTTGTTTTTTTAAAGATTTTATTTATTTATTTGACAGAGAGAGACACAGTGAGAGAGGGAACACAAGCGGGGGGAGTGGGAGAGGGAGAAGCAGGCTTCCCGCGGAGCAGGGAGCCCGATGTGGGGCTCGATCCCAGGACCCTGGGATCATGACCCAAGCCGAAGGCAGACGCTTAACGACTGAGCCACCCAGGCACCCCGTACCTGTGTTTTAATAAGCCAGAGTCTTATAAATACGTTTCTGGAAGACCAGAATCACATGGTCTAGGCACTGCCTGGCTGGCAATCAGAAGAGTTTGAGAAATTGACAGCATATCTTTTAACCATTTCTCTTGAGTGTCAGTTGTTAGTTTATCTTTAGGCAGGAAGTGCATGGTGTGTTTAGGGAACAATCAAGAGATCTGTAATGGATGGTTAGTGTGACTATGTGGAAGAACAGAAAAACAAAGCTGTAACAGTTCTGTAAGGGCCCAGAGTTGAAATCCCCATCTTCCAGGCGGAGGAGCTGGACTTTCACCTGGGACAAAGGGGATGCTGAAAACTGAATGCCCACATGTGATGTCTGTTTTCAGAAAGAAAATTGGCAGCAGGAAGAAAATAGACTGGTGACACTACCTGGCTTTTCATGTCTACTCCCACCATGAATTCTGGTCTCAGTCTCACCTGGGCTCTCAGTTTTTCCAGAAAGCCACCTAAATCTTCCTATACTCTGGCCTGCTCTCTAAAATGGCTATTTCAACTCTTCTTCAGTATTCTTAGACCTCTGACCCCCATCAACCCCCATCACATGCAGACACTCAACTTCTGCCTTCAAATCTACAAATACACCAACTTCTGTTCCCATCCTTCCTCCTAAGGCCAACCCTTCCACCACCCAGGGGCATCTTTCTGTTATCTTTTCTCTGTGCATTTTCAACCTTTTTCTCTAAAATCTCATTGCTTTTAACATTTACACATAATGAAGTCTCTCTCACCTTAAAACAAATGACCTTTCCTCATTCATAGCTCCTCTCTGGCTTATTCTAGTTCCTCCAATACCTTCCACCGACTAATTTCCTGAGCGCTGCCTACATTTCATCTTTCTATTTCATCTCCCATTCATTACTTCTGCCTTCTGATACTGTACTCCACTGATCTAGCACCTGTGAAGGTCACCAGTGACTGTCTGTTCCTAAATGCAGTCGTCAGAAACCTGGACATCATCCTCAATTTCTCACTCCATCACCCCCCACATCTTATCAGCCTCCAGGTCCTCCTGGTCATTGTGCTTTCTAAATAGTCCTTATTTCCATCATTAACACCCCACCATCCCCAAGCCATTCCTAATCCAGGACTCTCTCATATCACCTCTCAGTCCTGCCCCCTCCCATCCAGTCTCCCCAGTGACAGAATCAGCTTTCTAAAATCCAAATCTGATGTATCTCTCTTGCTTAAAGCCCCTCAATGGCCCTCAGGATAAAGTGTGATTCCCTAACCTAGTTCACATAATCTGACCCCCAATCTGTGGGCCAGAAACAAGGGGACACTTGACTCTGTATCAGGTACCAACTGGGGAACTTTTACATTTACAGAGATCTTGTAAGAGACCAATTAGGAGGTTACAGCTGACCATAAGAGATGGTTAGTGGGGATGGAAGTTCAATCAACAGGAGGTTAAGAGTGGAGGCTGGCTATGCAAGCCATCTTGGCAGGAAAGGAAATAGGACGGTAACTTGTGGGTAAGATTAAGGTTTTGCAAGGGAGGGGATGCCAAACATTTTTAGATGGAACATGAAGGGAGATTCAAGTGATTGAAAAGGGGATAGTTGCAGGCGCCTGGGTGGCTCAGTTGGTTAAGCAACTGCCTTTGGCTCAGGTCATGATCCTGGAGTCCCTGGATCGAGTCCCTGGATCGAGTCCCTGGATCGAGTCCCTGGATCGAGTCCCGCATCAGGCTCCCTGCTCGGCAGGGAGTCTGCTTCTCCCTCTGACCCTCCCCCCTCTCATGTGCTTGCTCTCTCTCATTCTCTCTCTCTCAAATAAATAAATAAAATCTTTAAAAAAAAAAAAGAAAAGGGGATAGTTGTTAGTTAAGGTTCTGGCAATGATGACACAAATGGGAGACTGAGCACACACTGCTGGGCAGGAGTATAAATAACTTTTCTGCACTACAATTTGGAAATCAAACATTTAAAAAAGCAAAATTTCCATCCTTTTGTGACTCAGTAACTTCACTTCTAGGATTTTTTTCCCCTGAGAAAACAAGCATGGATGTGTACATTTATCACTACACAGATGTTTTTCAATCTTAGAAAAGCAAAAAAAAAAAAAAAAAGTTGAACCTAAAATGTCATGAGGATTTTTATCAGTTTATAGTTTATGATACGTCCATTCAGTGAAATGCTGCATAGTCATTTAAAAAAATATAGAACATATGAAATTGAGATAATACAATATTTACAATGCCATTGCATTTTTGTAGAAAAAAAAGTTTTTATATACAGTCTGGGAAGACATACATTGGAATATTAACAATAGATACCTCTGGACAATGTTATATTATGAAGGTTTTTTTTGTTTCTTTGCACTTCCTAAAGTTTCCTATCATGAATAGGAATCCTTGAATAAAGAAAACAATTGATGGGGCGCCTGGCTGGCTCAGTCAGCTCAGTGACTCTTGAATTCAAGCCCCATGTTGGGTGTAGAGATTACTTAATTAAAAAAACAAACAAAAAACAGAAGCGCCTGAGTGGCTCAGTGGGTTAAGCATCCGACTCTTCAATTCAGCTCAGGTCATGATCTCAAGATCATGAGATCAAGCCCTGCGTCGGGCTCTGTGCTGGGTGTGGAGCCTGCTTACAATTTTTTCTTCCTTCTCCCCCACCCCAACTCATGCACTCTCTCTAAATAAAAACCATTTATAGAGTGCCTGCGTGGCTCAGATGGTTAAGCCTCTGCCTTCAGCTCAAGTCATGATCCTGGGGTCCTGGGATTGAGCCCCGCATCGGGCTCCCTGCTCCGCGGGAAGCCTGCTTCTCCCCCTCCTTCCTGCTTGAGCTCTCTCAAATAAATAAATATTAAAAAAAAAAAAAAAAAACCATTTATAAAATCACACACACACACAGACACACAGACACACACACACAGTCCATTCATACGAAGTTTAAGAACAAGCAAAACTTCTATGGTGAAAGAAGTCAGAATAGTGGTTATCTCTGAGGAGCTACAGACTGGGAAGACACACAAGGTAACTTTCTGGGGTGATTAAATATACTGCATCTTGTTTTTGGTGTACACATAAAGGTAAAATGTTATCAAGCTGTGGATTTAAGATTCGGGCATTTTACTGTGTTTAAGTTATATCTCCTTCAAAAGAAAATACACCAACAAGACAGAAAGGAAAGAGGAAGCAGGTAACATCACAGAACAATTTTGAGGTGAAAAAGGAAGCGGATGAAGTTCTGTGACAAGATCTCAAATTTCTCAGGAAGTAGGCTTTTTAGTAATGGACTTAGAGTGAAGAGGATGCAGGTGGGCTTGGATTTGAGAAAGGGGACACAGTGGAGCAGTGCCTATGCGGTAGAAACACATGGGGAGTTTCCTAGAGCTGGATCACAGAAGTGGGCACCAACACCCAGGCTCCTCAGTTTACTGTGGTACATGCTAGGACTCTGCAACTTAGGGAACAAGAGAGACATCAAATTGTTCAGTTAAACTCTGGGAAATTGTGACAGCACTGAATTGTAGTGGAGAGGACCATGAAACCAACAGAATTCTAGTAGGGAGATTGAGAGGAATGGAGAGGGACAAAAAGGCCTTACGGGCAGTGTAGGGACAGTGGAGCACTAAAGGCTGTGGTCAGGAAGGGTTTGGTTCTGAGGTCTTGAGGGTGAGGTAGTTCACATTGAAGGCTTACCTCAAAGCACAGCACTGCTGGGAGGGACAAGAGCAAAGAAAGCAAACATGTACTAAGCATCCTTCCACCTACCACCAGGCACTTCACAGACAGCAGTCCATTTAAAGAGCATCTGAACTTTCCAAGGATGCACTGCCTTGATGTTTATAGATGAGGAAACACCCTAGAGCACTCAGCAAGGGGTAGTTTCAAATTCAGATTTGACTCAAAGCCTCTTTCTACTACATTCAGCAGCTACACAAGTCAAATCAGGAGCAGTAGGACCAGAATTTTAGGAAATCCACATATGTAGATGTAAGAGTCACCTAGGTTGCTGGTGAAGAAGAAAGTATCAGTTGCCAACATCTTGGGGAATGTCCAGTAGCAACCAGAACAGGATAAAGTAGTCCAAGCAGATGGCATGTGCTTCAGGAACACTGTCCTGGACAACAGCGCATCAAAGCGGCAGAAGAGAAATACAGATCCCTTTCCTGGTTCCAAGATAAGAAGGAAAATGAGCAGTATCTGCTTAAGGGCTTTTTGAGGTAGTGTCTTCAAGAGAGAACCAGGTTTCAGCTTAGTGGGGTTAGAAACCTAGGAGTTTGGGGCATCATTTGGAGTTACCAAGAAGGGCAGACAGCAAAGGGTAGAGGTAGAGCCATGAGAGGGAGGAGAAGCTCAGCACAGTGTTGGCTGAGCTCACGGTCAGGAGCAAGAGACTTTGGGGGCCGGTGGCTCCATCAGGGGAAAAGTGCATGGAGTTGTAACACTGGAGGCATGGCAAGAAAAAGTATCAGGCATTAAGCAAAGTGTCAACTTAACCCCTCCCCTTTTTCTCTCCTTCATCTGTATCTAGAATAAACTGTTGGCAGTGGGCAAGCTACAGACTGTGCTGAAAACAGTAATAGGAGCTATTACTTACCGAACACCTATTGTGTGCCAGGTAACTGCAGCAGCAATTCACTTCATCCTGACTGCAAGGCTACAACTGGCCCCATTTTACAGATGATGAAACTGAAGCCTAGAGTTGAGGTCACTTGGCCAAAACCATGGTCACAGCCGGGATTTGAAACCAAGTGTATTTGGCATCAGAGTTCAAATCTTCCTTTACTGTTAATTGATGGCAAAAATTTTACACATAAGCTTCACAATCAATTGTGAAGTGTTCATTTTTAAAAGTGGATTCTGACCTAAGGTGAACAAACGCTTCTTGCAGACTTACTAGACTGAGCAGACTTTCTAGTTTATGGTTAAGATCTACATTTAAAAAAACAAACAAAAAACAAACAAAATGGAAGCCCACATCTTCAGATAAGCAACAGGGTAGACTCTGAAGGTGACAAGAATTCGTAGCTCACAGGAATGAGTTCTCTGCGCAAGGTCAGACAGTGGGGAAGAGAAAGGCAAAGAACCAAGGCTTACATTTCCTCTCGGAAATAAAAAAAAAGAAAACAAGCAAAAATACCTTAGGAGGGGAGCTCCAACAGTCCAGACTTCATTAGATCAAAGGTGACTCTTCTTTAGGCACTCATTCACAAGGACATAGGTCTGTACTAGCAGAAGACATGGCATCCCTTATAAAACTGAGTTACAACTACAAGAAAATATTCCTTCAAAATACACTCCCATGGAGAAAGTGAACAATGACACCTGTGTTGGGCACTTCATATACATTTGATTAACCTACAAACCCATCCTGAGACAGATGGTGCTAACTTTATTTATAGTTGTGGGAAACTAAAGAACTTGTCTGAGGTCAGAAAGGCCCAAACTTGAACCTGGATCTGTCTGCTCCGGCTAACACCACACTAAGTTGCCCCCTTTCACTGAAATACACTATTTTAACTCCTTGCTCTTCTTTGATTCTACCTTGCTTTTCAGCAATGCAATACCCTGTTCCCAACCCCATGACTTCCCAAACTTTCCTTCACACATAGGAAAATACCTACCACATCTCTCCTGGACAGAAAGACCCACAACTTGTTAGGAGATTTTTGTTATAAAACATTTAATGTTAACCTACAATACAATGTAAACTTTTATGAAAAAAATTTAAAGTACACTAGATTTCTTCAGTAAATTATCACATAACTATTCAGGTGCAGTACAAGTTGGGGCACTGCATCCTTTGTGGATGGATTTCCTGTTGCTGCGTTCCTCACAAGTCCTAAAAAAACCAGTTGTAAAGTGGAGCTCCTTGTTCAAGCACCAGATAATTCTCCCCTGATTTTGCATTCTGGGGGTTAGCACTCCTTCCCACAGTCATTTTCTGAAACTCTTTCCTTGGCCTTGGCACCATTAACAATTTTCATGACTGCTCAGTTGAAGATTCTAGGTTCCTTTTTTTTTTTTAATAGATAAATATTCTCCTCTGGTCATATTTTATCCAAACATCATAGTGGAAGAAGACAAGGTTACAAAGAAGTATTTGCTGCAGGAAATTCTGCAGAAGTGAAAGAAAAGACCAGAAAGGCCACACTGAGGCTGCAGAAATTCAACTGACTCCAACAGGTTGTCTTTGCTTGGCCATTTCTGATGGTTATTCAGCTGAATCTACAACTTCAGTTTTGGGACTGCAGAACACAACTTGAAACAAGTGTTTTTGTTAGGTTGATGACTTGCTGTTTGATAAACAGCTGAAATAACCCAGAGGTGATCTGGAAATGAGGAAATCCTTGCAGATACTTCTCAGTATTTTCTCCCTTGCAGGTCCCATCAAGTTCCCAGAGGTCCTTGGGAGTAACAGATTGTACTGGCTTTAAGTGACAAAACGTGCATCCTTCACGGAGGAGGAAGGGAGATGGCACCTAGGCAGCAGCCCTAGGGTCAGCAAGGAGAAAGGAAGGGGGGGGACGTGGTCTGAGCAAAGCAGGCCTGTTTTAAGATGGACTAGGAAGGAACATGTGCTTCAGATAAGACCTCTTGAAACCTGAAGTAATGGGTAGGCCATCACAAGAACTGTACCGACATAGACTTTTTCTTAATATTCTGGCATCTGACCTCCTTCACTGAACAAGTTTTAAAAGGGCAAGAGACATAAAGTGCACATTGTAGAATAGGATGCAGACTGAATTAAGGAAAAAGTTTTACAACTTCCCAAAGAGGTATGGGCAAGATACTTGGTACACCCAACCTAGCGAAAGCCTTTAATGTCGTCCCCTCCTGTGTACTGCCAGGGAAACAGCTGTGAGTTCAACAAGGAGGGAGGCTCCAAGTTAAGTGGAAAATTCCTCTTTGCATGGTTGTCAGCAGGAAGCAGAATTCACATAAGGTTGAGTGGAGAATATGCTTTATCCTGGTATTCACTCCAGATTCCTTTCATGAAAACACAACAGTCGGACAGTGATTTCCCACTCATCTGGGCTTCAGGCAGCAGGAAACAAAGTGGAATAATAGGCAGCCAGGAGCAGAATTAAATTTTCCTAGAGATCGTGTTCTAGACACCTGTGCCAAGGCCACTGGGAAATTCCCAGGCTCCCCAGGTGCTTTGTGTGAGGTTCCTTACTCTGTTCCTTGGTGTTTGCCCCAACCCCTGAGGGCTACAGAGAATAGAAGACACATCACTGCTACCTAAAAGAGTGGCCCTTAGACTTTAGGTAAGCAAGAGAGAAAGCCTTTAGAAACCGCAAATCTACCAAGTTATGTTTTATCTTGACATGAACCCTGGCCTCACAGCATGCTAGAACTACAGTTACTTCAGTAGGTTGCAGTGTTACGAGTCTGCACCAGTCTAGCTGTAGAACACTTTGGAATATTTGCCAGTTCATGCTGGCATCTGTTAATACATGGCCTGACCCATGTACCCATTACCATAAACTCAACCACAGCACAGATATCCAGAGGTTAAAAAACCCTATTACTTCAACACAGCAATAGAGAGGATTAAAACTGCCTCCAGCAGGTGGCTACATCAGAAACTAAATGTGCCTTCCAACAGTTTACACAGGCTGAGAGTTCTGTCTTGGCTCCCTTCAAGGTCTCTAGTTCTATGCCTAAATCACCACCACCATCACCACACTCCCACTGAGACAGGCAGGGAACTCTTACGGGGTTCTGCTGGTTCTACCATAGGTCCTGCTACTCCTTTGGGAAACACCAAGCTTGGCAGTTCAGGAAAGCTCAGGGCTGGGAAGGAAGAGCATGCATGTGTCAGAAGAGGAATGAAGAGTCACTATCCTTTGGTTCAGATCCCGTAATAACCACCTGGTACAGATTCCAAGGGAAAGCTGCAGTCATGTATATAGTGAGTATACACAGAGTTCACGCTGCATATATGAGTATATCTGTACGGTCTTTGTGGGGCAACGAACCCAGATTTCCTCCCAATACTCAAAGGGGGGCACATAGATAGCAAGAAAGGACAGCAAGAGTTGGACCAAAAAGAACCACCTCTCTGGGAATGTGAGAGGAACAATGGCAGAAATAAGCACAAACCAGCCCAGGGCACCTTTATTACACTCTTGTGGGCTAAGGAGCCCAGGGCATGAACTCATGGGCTTAAGAATTGGCTCTTACCAAATAAAGTTAAGGGAAAAAAACACCTATATCAGCCTCATTCCTTTGGTCATTACAAAGCAACAGAAAACATTTAGAAGTTATTTATAAATTGTGGGAAGTTCAAGGAACATCTCTGTTCTGTGCCTTCTCTTCCCTCTCTTCTCTGGTGGTGGGAGAAGCAAGTCTTCAGAAGATGCTGCAGTAGCTGGATGATAGAGGTTTTTTCACTTTATTTTCCATAAAAGCAAGAACGAATGAGAACCAGTGGGAATGTCCCCTTCCCCAGTAGGGACAATGACTGGGTTGGAGGTGAAGAGTCTCCTTTCATTGGAAGGTGCGTGGTGCAGAGGCAGTAGGGGAGGGTGGGCTTGCCAGCGGAAACGTTCATTGCTGACCTCGTGCGCGCGCACACAGGTGGTGACTCTTTTAGGCAGCATGGTTTCTGATCCTTCCTTAGGATGCAGCAGTCTTTTAAAAAAAATATTGTATTATAATAATAATAATATGAATTTCTCTCTCTTGTTTTTTTTTGTTTTTGTTTTTCCATTTCTTTTAGGGATTAGGGTAGGAGGGGAGAGGAAGAAAAAATGTCATTCATCTGTTAGGTCCTGAACAAAGAGAACTTCTGTGTGGCTGAGTCCTGCTTCCTGCAGTGTGGGGGGGTTGGGCCACTCCTCTGAAGGGATGCAGGGCAGCACCCGCCGGGGAAAGTTGGCTTCAATCTGAAACTTTTCCGGGCTTTCTTTCAAGGAAAATAAGAAGTCGTGGATTACCTGCAGATCATATAGAAAAAGGGCAGTGAGAGAAAGACAAAGACAGACAGACAACACAATGATGAAATCAAATATCCCCTCGCCAGCTCTCTCCAGGATGACTGTAAATATTAAGTCATCGCATGACACTGGAATTCTATTGTGAGGTCCTTCCATTTCACAGAGCAAATACGTAGGGCAGCTCTTTTAAGAGATTACACAGCCCCATGCTAGGCCTACTTCTGAAGTGATTCATCTTTTTTTTCTTGACATCCTGATATAGAGTTAAAATTTTTTTACTTAGAAATAATCAGAGAGATGGGGCGCCTGTGTGGCTCAGTTGGTTAAGCGGCTGCCTTCAGCTCAGGTTATGATCCAGGGTCCTGGGATTGAGCCCCGCATCGGGCTCCCTGCTCAGCAGAGAGCCTGCTTCTCCCTTTCCCTCTGCCTGCCGCTCTGCCTACCTGTGCTATCTCTCTGTCAAATAAATAAAAAAAAATAAATAAATAATCAGAGAGTTACAGAACAGTGGAAGTACAGAACATAGAATTTTTTTCTTTGAACCAGTTGAGAATGAGCTGCCAACCTGATGTCCTGTCACCCCCAAAATACTTGTGTCTGTCTTATAAACAGGACGATCTCCTACATAACCATAATTCAGCCCTCAAAACACAGGAAATTTAACTGGCACATTAATGCTGCAACATAACAATATATATTAAATTATTATTAAAGTTTTCAGGTTTTGCTAGTTGCCTTCTACAGCAAAAGCATCCAGTTTAGGATTATGTATTCCATTTCATTATTACATCTTCTAAGTCTGGAACAAATCCTTAGTCTTTCACTGACTTTCATGACCTTGATACTTCTAAAGATTACTGGTTATTTTGCAGAATGTCTTTCAATTTGTTTGTCTAATGTGTACTCACGATTAGATTCCAGGTACGTTCTTTGGCAGAAGTGTTAAAGAAATGATGCTGCATTCTACTAAATGCATCCTATCTAGCTGGAGCATAATTCCGATTTGCCCCAGTACCTATAATGTGCACTTTGATCCCTCCGTTAAAGTGGTGATACCAGGCCTCTCCACGGTTGAAGCCATTCCTTTCTCCTTTGTAATTGAAGAGATCTTGTGGGGAGGTACTTTGAAACTACAGAGATATCTATTCCTCAAACTTTCAATTTATTTAATTTATATTAACACAGAGTCATGATTCCCTATTTTATTCAGTAGCTTATAATGTTACTTTATTTCAATATTTCAAAATTTATTTCAATGTCATCCAAATGTTCCAGATGGAGTCAAAGAGCCCATCCAAGATGGCTTCTGTGTCTTTGTGGCAAGTCTCCATCATTTTTTGAATAATTCGTTGCTTTCTGGTCCAAGGTATTCCAGACTGATCTTGTGTTTTCCTGCCCCAGCTCTGGAATCAGCCATTTTTCCAAGGAGCCCTAGTTCTTCTTAATGGACAATGGTATTTAAAAGCCACATCCGGGGCGCCTGGGTGGCTCAGTTGTTAAGCATCTGCCTTTGGCTCAGGTCAGGATCCGGGGGTCCCGGGATTGAGCCCCGCGTCGGGCTTTTTTTTTTTTTTATTTTTTTTTTATTATTTTTTAAAGATTTTATTTATTCATTTGACAGAGAGAGACACAGCGAGAGAGGGAACACAAGCAGGGGGAGTGGGAGAGGGAGAAGCAGGCTTCCTGCCGAGCAGGGAGCCCAATGCGGGGCTCGATCCCAGGACCCCGGGATCATAACCTGAGCCGAAGGCAGACGCTTAACGACTGAGCCACCCAGGTGCCCCGCAACATAGGCTTTAAACAACATTTTGTTTCCTTTTTAATCTTGCTTATAAATATTCAACCCTGGTATAAAATTGGCATTTTCTGTTTGCCACTGACAACGCACATCATCTCCAGAGGTCGCTTTTGGTTCCTAACAGAAAAATGAGTCTTGGGCTGAGTATAATTTGGATTCTCTCTAACATGCATTCATTTAACAGAAAGTCACCTGCTACTTTACTGCCCACTCATGAGACCTGGAGATTTTTCTACAGTTTATTCTTTTTTATCTTAGCACTTTACTACTATCAAGAGCTAAGCTTTGTGCAAATTGAGTATTTCACAGTACAATCACTTTTTAAGATTATTTATGAAGAGGAGATCTCACAGGAAGATGACACAAAGTTTGTAAGAGCATGAAAAACTATAAATCTTTACTCAGTTATATGTTATAAACTCCATGAATGTTAAAGGCCCACACCATCACTACACTTCTCCTTTATACTTCTTTTCCATCTCTGAGCCTTATCCCCACTTATGACCAAGTATTTCTCTCAGTTTGAGGTTTGTTTTTAGAAACTGAGAACCTATTTAAGAGTCTTCAAGGACTGGGGGGGCTGGGTGGCTCAGTTGGTTAAGCGGCTGCCTTTGGCTCAGGTCATGACCTCAGGGTCCTGGGACCAAGCCCCATACTGGGATCCCCGCTCAGCGGGCAGTCTGCTTGTCTCTCTCCCTCTGCACCTCCCCCCGCAACTTGTGCACTCTCTCTCTCTCTCAAATGAATAAAATCTTAAAGACAAACAAATTTAAAAAGTCTTTAAGGATTAAATAGTTAACAAACAGGTTGGTTCCCCTTCGGCCAGAAGCCTATTGTTGTTCCACAATTCTAAAAGATTTTCTTCTGAAACTCTCAAGAGAGTTAATTTTTGTTAGGTTTTTCACATACACAATTAGAGTTTGGGGAGTAAAAGCTCCATAAAGCTCAGGTGTACTATGATGTGAAACTGTTAGTGTACATGGATGCAAGCTATAATCTAATGCAAACCTCAGTAGTTAGGAAACATACCAGGGAGGAGGGAATGAACATTTAGTAACCACCTACTACATGGTATGTACTACGAGGCTCATTCATGTTATCCCAATTTAAGAATCCAAAGTTAGGGATGTGAGCATTTCCCTCAATAGAATAAATGCATAAATGAGAGATAAATAAAATGAGAAAGCTACTCCCTTTTCTCTCACCAGGATGCCTCACAACTTTTTACGTTGTATTAACTCTGAGTCTTAATTCCCTACTGGCCGTAAGCTCCATGAATTCCAGACCATGTCTCACTCATTTGTATGACCCCTAGAGTGCCTAGCCTGAGGTATCTTCAGCTTAAAGTTATTAAAGGAAAGATTATATTTCCATTTAACTGATGAGGTTTCTGAGGCCCTGTAAAAGATTCTGCAACTTGTCCAATGTTCTTTACTTAAACAGGAGAACTAATAAATGTGCTACCTGTCCTCACTTGACTACAGTGCATTCTCATTTCTATTATGCAGTTTACTCTTGACTATTTCGAGTGATCAGGGAAATGGCAGAATCTACTATAGTTGGTAAATTTGGAAAGACAACATACCAACTACCAATATAAACAGAAATTTCCTCTTGGTTATAAATACCAAAAACAACAGTTAGCATTTGAGTGCTTACTACTAGCCAGGCACAATGTTGAGCCCTTTACATATGAACTTAATCCTAACGACAATCCTATTAGAGAGTACCTATTATCATACCCATTTTACAGATGAAGAAATTGAGTCAACAAAGTACATCGACAAAGAAAACAGATCTATTAATCTCCGAATGAAAATTTGATCCTCATTTTTTAAGATTTTATTTATTTATTTGAGAGACAGAGAGCCCAAGTGCACGAGTGGGGGAGGGGCAGAGGGAGAGAGAGAAGCAGACTCCCCACTGAGCAAGGGGCCCAACACACGGCCCTGATCCCAGGCCTAAGGGATCATGACCTGAGCTGAAAGCAGAGGCTTAACCAACTGAGCCACCCAGGTAACCCCATCATTCTGTGAGACTCTAAGAAACTCTGCTTTTAACCATTTCCCTATGGAAACACTATTTACCTCTAGATACCAAATATACAAGGTAGCTCCACAAAGTGGGGCTTCTTAGGGGCTAAATGGATAGAAAGGGAGAGCGACAACTGAATGCAAACTGCACATGCATTTATATTCAGATGTGTCATTCTGGTGCTTTTAGGTCAGTGGAGACAGAGTTTTCTGTGGAGACAGAGCAAGGGGTTCTGGTGGGATTCTGAAGCCAATGTGAGTTGAGCAGCATGGAAGAGCCTCCCACCTTAAATATCCAAGCCTTTTGTGGAGCTTCCTGGTAAGGTACACTTCAGAACTCAAACATGATGAAAGAAAATCTTAATAGCTCCCTTGAGTTGGCAGCTAGAACTGAAGGAACCTAATGGTTCACTGCACTCCTCTCTCTGCCCCAGCCCTTCCTGCCCTGTTCATGAGAGCAACAGATTGACCAACAACACTCTGAAGAGTCCTTAAAAGCTTCCAAATATATAGCCCAGACCCTACATACACTTCACACAATTTAGGCGGTCCTTACTGTTAGAGACTGTGAAAAGTGGAATCGTCTCTCTACTCGAGAATCATTGGGTAATTTGAAAATGATCTTGACACTTTCAGGGTCATCAGGCGAAGGCTCCGGGGGCAGGCACTCCAACTTCCTTTCCTTTTCCTCTTGTAAATTCTGTATAGACACAAAGCAAAGTTGAGGCTATGGCTCCAACAGGGAAACAGGAATACTATCACCATGTAGGTTTACTGCGTAGCCAGAAGAAAAAGGAATGACTAATATTGTAAAAAAATTTTCTTGGCAAGAGTCAGAAACACCCTAATTCAAAGTGCTATTGCATCACATGTAACTACGTTAGGGTATTTAGCTGTCGGAAAAAAAGGGAACAGCTAAAAGACACTGGCTATAATCAAGCAGCAATATATGATGAAAGATCATGAATGAAATGCCAAATTAGCTAACACTGGTGCTAAGAAATAAAAACTATTGCTGTCAATTTTGAACTGCTCGTTATCCATTTATACTTGCTTTTCATGTAACAGAGTTGTTTTGCTTACTTTCGCTGATGTATTTTTTTTTAATAAACAAAAAAAATTTTAAAAAATACTTTTTGTGAAAATGTAGTAAATATAAAAATGGCAAGGAGGGGGCAAGCTGCCTGGCTCAGTCAGTAGGGCACGCAACTCTTGAGGAGTTCAAGCCCCACACTGGACATAGAACTTACTTAAAAAAAAAGGCAAGAAATTAAAACACCCACAAATCCCATCATCTTCAAGTTTTTTCCCTTTCACACTTAAGATCAGTTTGGGAATCACAAGGAGTAAAGACAAGTTCATTACCTGCCGCCGTCTCTCCTCTGCCAACTTCTGCTGTTGCACCTCCTCCTCCTTCCGCCGCTTCCGCTCCCGCTCCTCTCGTTTCTTCCTTTCTTTCTCCTGGTCAGCCCTGAGAGAGGCCAGATAGGCCTCATCCTGCTGTTGTCTCAACACCTGGGTCTGGTTTCGTTCTTCCCTGTGACCAGATCAAAACTCAGAGAAGGCAAAGAACAATCTCTTTTTCCTCATACTGAAACTTTTGGGGAGGTAAAAGGTTGACATCTTGACAGATGAGTATTTCACACTACCATAAAGGATTCCAAAGCAGAGCATGGCAGGATTTGAACGAACGATCTCTTTTCCCAGTTTAATTTGTCAGAAAAACAAATGGTAAGCTTTTCCCTTCCCTTTTAACTTTACAAATAAAACTATCCTTTCCCCAATTCTAACAAAAGTAACAATATTATTGCCAAAAAGCGATCATCAAGATCATGTTTTACAGTTAAATACCCTTTTGGGTTATTGCATTTTTGTATATATTGCTTTCATAAAACAAAAAACCACGTATGTGCATCTTAGAAGATTTGGAAAGTGGAGAAATATCTTGTTCAGAATTCTACTAACCAAAGAGAAAATACTGTAACATTTTGGTGTACTTCCTATTTTCTCTCCAAAAAAAGTGTGAATGTATACGTAGGAATGAGTGGATGAGATAGAGTATGTGTCTATAAAATAAAATACACCAGAATATTAAAAGTTGTGGTAGGATTATGGGTGATTTTAAACTTTTTTGTGCTTTTCTGTGTTTTCAACATTTTCTACAATTAATGTACACTACTTATGTAATGCGGGCGAAGAGTTCTAACAATTCCACATTTTTTACATTTAAGCTCCTTAGATCATGGTTCAGGTATTTTAAATGACATGATATATATGTTCTTGAGCACAGAGCTTTGTCTTTATTTTGATTCACATCTCCAAGAACAGATGACCTGATGGGAGAATTATTTCAGTCAAAGTACATAAATATTTTAACACTAAATGGATGAGGTTTTCAAAGTTGCCCAAGACAGAGAATAAGTCAGGATCTGTGTAGCCCTGGGTCAGCCACCCAAATTTGTAGCTGGTCTCTCTCTATTCCAGAGAGGGACTCCCCTGTACCTTTCAAGGCGTTCTGACACCAGGTAAGTCTGGTTTGCATCCATGATAAATGTCAGCTGGTTAATGAGGTCATCGGGTTGAATGAGGCCTTCTAGCCGTCCTACCACAGTCATTCTCCTATCCTTCAGCATAATCATGGCCAGGAATGGGTAGGTGTTCTCTCGTAAAGCCTGTGAGACTGACAGAAAGAAGAGCCAACAGGTCAAGGGCAGCCCTAGGGATGAACCAGATCAACTCTTAGACTTTCCACAATGAGCAAGAAAGGTTTTAATCCCACTTGGGAAAGAAAGGAGCTCTCACTTATTCTCTGAGTACCTTTTTCTCCTTCTAGTTTCTTAATCATTGCTGTTGTTGTTTTATTTTTGTGTCTCTATTCCCAGGTAATTTGATTAGAATAGGACAGGCTTTTGTGATGGGGGTGGCTGTCATAACGATACTAGGGAAGACTATAGAGGTCAAGGACAATGTCTTTTTTTTTTTTTCAAAGATTTTATTTATTTATTTGAGACAGAGAGAATGAGAGACAGAGAGCATGAGAGGGGGGAGGGTCAGAGGGAGAAGCAGACTCCCCGCCGAGCAGGGAGCCCGATGCGGGACTCAATCCCGGGACTCCAGGATCATGACCTGAGCCGAAGGCAGTCACTCAACCAACTGAGCCACCCAGGCGCCCCAAGGACAATGTCTTTTTGATAAGAAAGGATCTATAAAGAATCGGACTACTGCTGAGGCTGATTTTTCCCTATGTCAAGTGTCAAGCCTAAAGGAAATAAGGCTGCAAGTCTCAGCGTTATATCACTGGTAATGAGCTCCACCGTCTTCTGCCTTTTCTTCCTCTTATTCAATCCCTTCCTTACCCCTTTTCTCATGTCTCCCTCACCTCACCCTCAAACAAAAGAGCTAGTTTTTCTGTTCTAAAGGAGTTTTAGAAAGTTGGTTCCCCAAATAACCAAGGTTTATACCATAACAGAGTAAACGTTTTCCTTATGGTTTGAAAGAAGAAATTTTATAAGCTTCTATAAAAAATATCCTTAGTCTCTTTCTATCCACTACCCTCCATCCCCAAAGCCATATTAGGATGGCAAAACGCGTGCTGTACAAACCTATCAGATGTTTAAAAACCAATTAGGAGTAAAGATTCAGATTTTAAGATGTAGGCAAAACATCTTGATTCTTAGGATCTAGGACAGTGCCTAGCATGCTAGTATATAACTCAAGTCACTGAACAGAAGTAGCTGCAAAGTAACTACATTTTTCTTCACTGGATACCTTTTCTATGTTATATTGACTTCCAAAAGTACTTACCTCCACTGAAGAGTTATTGTCAGCAAAGATCTGAACTTTCTGAATCCCCATCAGCACTCAAGGTACTCAAACAACTAACTCATTGTGCAAGAAGCTCTGTTAAAATTGCTGATGACAACAGTAAACTCCTCAGTAAAAAGCCGTTTAGATTAAAAGCAAGTTGCTGGACATGACTGGGTGTTTTAAAAATAAAACAGGCCCTGGCAATGGTTACCTGTAAAGAATGGGCTAGAGTCTAACAGATCTGAGGCTTGCTAACTATGATCTTGGGCCAGTCTCTTAAACTCTCTGAGCCTGTTTCCTAAACCATAGAGATAATACAACCACCATCAAGACTACTGAGAGGATTAAATAAGATAATGTATAAATAGTAACTAGCACTATGTCTAACATGGAATAATTGTGCAATAAATGGCATGTTTTCGGGCGCCTGGGTGGCTCAGTTGGTTAAGCGACTGCCTTCTGCTCAGGTCATGATCCTGGAGTCCCTGGATCGAGTCCCGCATCGGGCTCCCTGCTCAGCAGGGAGTCTGCTTCTCCCTCTCCCACTCCCCGTTTGTGTTCCCTCTCTCGCTGTGTCTTTCTCTGTCAAATAAATAAATAAAATCTTTAAAAAATAAAATAAATAAATAAATGGCATGTTTTCCCAGATTATTCCAAAGATATCTCACCAATATCAATGAGGAAAAAGAAATACAACTTACCCCTATATCCCTCAGGTTTATTTGTGGAGCATGCCCAGAAGAGCATCCTAGTGTTTATTAGGGAAATAACTTCAGGTGCACAGAGTGTGTTGCTGTGGAGAGGAATGAAAAAGACATGAGAAGAACTTGCTTACTACAAAATATCAGCAGATAAAAAAAATTACACAAATAAACGATCAATCCACTTACCGACAAAACTCATCAGAGTCCTGGTGATCATCTCCATGAAGATAAACCAAAAGGAAGCGAAGCTCCCGCTTGGCATCATTAAGTGCCTGTGGGAAATAGAAGATCACTAATTATTATGACGACTGTGCCCTGAGCTTTTAATTAGGCTAAAGGAACAAAAGGAGAAATGAGGAAAAAAGGTGAACAAGAAATCAGATTCTGGGCTCCTACCTTCACACCCCTGGCATTTTTCTCCCTACAAAAGTCCACGCTAACAAGCTTTAATGAAAAGGTTTTAGTGTTGTTAGGATTTAAACTGTATTAGGCACATGAGAGTAGACAGGCTGACAAAGAAAGGTCCCCAACAAATCACAGAAAAGTCAGCTGTTCCCAGAGTCTAAAGGAAGATAAAAACAGGAGAATCTGACCACATGAAAGGAGAGGTGAGAATTTTGCCACTTTACAGATACAACATCCTTCTCCATAAAAAATACTGCAAAGATGAGTCTGATACCAGGCCACATATCAAGCAGGGATGAGAGACTGGGGGACCCAAATGCATTTTAAAGAGCACAGGGTTTAAAAGATCTTCAAAGACAAGGCCAATGTTCAAGATTCTTGTGTATGCTTTTGCATTTGCATAATCCTGAGCACATTACAATTCAATTAAGATTTCCTGAATGACCAGTGGAGGTCTACCCTCAGGATCATAGCTAAGAGGGTGCATGAGTGGTACCCATCTCATTCACATCTGCATCTCTAGCATTGAGCACACCGTCCAGCATATAGTAGGTGCTTAATGCTTGTTGAGTAGGGAGGGTGGCAGCAGAGCCACTGAGGAGACCAACTATGAGAAAAAGCCAATATGGGAGAATCAAAGCAGGAAGCAAGAGTAAGCATTTTTCTTTTTTACCAGATAGATTCAGGAATACTGGAAGGCTGAAGTAGAACCATCCTTTGGACTATGTTCACAATGTTATTTCTACGTTTTTCTCTGGCAAGCTAGAGATATGCCTAACACCCACAGAACTCATAATTTTCACCCCCTGAGAGGTAACAGTTCAAAGGTCTGTGTGGCTTGGGTTGAATGAGATGTGCTGCCTTGAGTCTATGGTCTATGCCCTTATTTAATTCTGTGAGGGATCAAAGACGACTTAGGCTTTGCCTTCAAGGGGATTAATGTCTGATATAGGAGATAAAACAAGAACATAATCAACCATAATATAAGGAAGAATGTGAAACTGCTTTAAGTTTTCAAAAAAAGCTATGAAAGCACAAAAGGAAAGACTACTATTTTAGATTGCAAGGTAGGCCAGGTAGGGCACATCAATCAGAAAGGGTATATGAAGGGAGTGATATGACCTAGTTGAAGGATGGGCAAGCTTCCATTTAGCAAAAATGTGAGTAAGGCATTCCAGGTGGAGGGAAAAGCAAAAGCAAAGGCACAGAGGTGAAAAAGTACAGAGTATGTTCAGGAAATGGTTTAGCTGGAACCTAGGGTAGGGAGAAACAAGTTATACAAAAAACCTCAAAAGGAGGTTGGGATTAGATCAAGTAGGGCTGGCTTTCTTTTTCTGTAAGCAGTGAAGAGGTATTTAAGGTTCTTAAGTAAAAGAATGAAATGATCAGTGCTGGGCTATGCTTTCCTTTGTGGATAGAACCATAGCAATAAATTGGCATCTATATGGTTTGTGGCACTGACCTGGCTGTACGTTCCCTGGTAGAAGACAGGGTGTGCCCTCCCATATTTCTCTTCAAAAGAGTGCATAAATGAAACAATGTCCCCAACGGGGTCAGTGACCCGGCTGCGAGGGTCAGGCCGTATAAAACGAAGAGCAAACCTGGGGAGGAAGGAATAAATATCACATGAATCGGCTTACTGTAGCGCATATGGAGTGGGCCAGTTTGTAAAGATTCCTACAATAGAGCCAGAGGCATGGCAGCAAAAGGAGGTGAATGGTCTGTGAATGGACCATCAAACCTGAGAGTAGAGTCTGGCTCAAAAGCTGCAGAGCAGCAAGGGTTTTTCCACTACCTGTTCAAGACAAATGTAAACTACTAGGATTATAAGTTCCAACACTGGCCTAAACAAATCCTGAGTGTTTTCTGCAGAAAAATTCAGGACTAGAAAAATTGGGAAAGGAAGACACAGTCCAAAAAGATCATAGGTCAGGCTGTGCCCCAGACTCTCTAGAATTGCACTGTCTAATAAGGCAGCCACTAGCCACATGTGGCTATCTAAATTTAAATTAACTAAATAAAATTCAGTTCCTCAGTCACTCTCGCCACATTAAGTACTCGACAGTCACATGTGGTTAGTAGCTTCCACACTGGACAGTGAAGATACAGAATGTTTCCATTATCACAGAAAGTTCTATTGGATAGCATTGCTCTAGAATAGAGCTCTGTCTCTTTCTGGTTGTCCTACTTGCCTCCCCCTCTCCTTTCTGTTGTCCCGGGATTTTGAATTTTTAGTGCATACTCCCAAGCTATTCAAATTATGGACAGACTTCAAACCTGGAACTTGCGGTCATGATTCACTTGCTTTTCAAGGGGGCAAGTAAAATTCTGCTTAATGGTTTATGGTTAATGGCATCCATGAAGGAAGTTATAAAACTGATCTAGAGTACACTGGCAGATTTGGAGACCTGGCAGCTATTGTCAGGTTAAGGATGATACCACACATCTGTTTCTAAAGAGCCTATCTTATCATATTTGTATAGCACCACTTATGTATCCTTTGGGTTTCCATAGAAGGCCATGAACAGAGAGTTTTGATAAGTCAATATGCTACATAACATTAAACAAGTTGTTTGGATGATACAGTTGCATTAAAATTAGTCACACATGCCATGCATACTTTTTTCCAAGGAAAGCAAACAATATTAACGTACTTGAGGCATTTTCAGCACAGAACAGGTGACTAAACTATGACACTTTCCTTACCAAATACTGAGCCAATTCCTTAGCCTCTCAAATTCCCCATGTGTATACAATTTCACTTAGAAATTCTCCTGAGTAATCAATCAAATTAACTGATACAAACATTCCAGAGGAAATTAAAAAATGTAAGAAGTTGTATATGTGGGGGAGTGGTTAGAAATCCTTTAGAAGATTGATATTTTGATAACTTTCTCTGAAATTAAGTATTAAGACTATCTTATTACTCTTTTAAGTTTTCAAATTTCGATGAACAAATGGATAAAGGCTGTCACTTCTTCCTTTCTAATTATAATATATTCCCATGGCTTACATAATTCAGGACAATCAGCTTTCTTAAAAAAAAAAAAATCTCAATGCAGTCTTTGTTGTGATTTTAACGGTTTATATGTGCCCATTTTTAAATAAAGTGCCCATTTTAAATAAAGATGGAAAAAGTACCAATTGATTAACTGGTGACCAATAAGAATTTTGCTAAAGCAAAGAAGTCATTAAGCAGGCAGACTCCTAAAACACCAAGCAGTCAAGGTAAAAGGTATTACCTGATCCTTGCACTTTTACACCTGCTGGGTCCTCACCTCCACAGCCTCTGCTCTCTAGAGCAAGGCAAATCTTTTCCATATATGGGGGAAATACAGGTTGCCCTGTATGCGAGGCCCAGACCACATATTCTAGCTCCATCTGTTGCCCTGGATGCCCATAAAACATTTTAGTTCCCAATAAAGCCTAGGTATGGGTTCATTTACTCAGCTCTAGACCAGATGCCCCAAGACTGATATGCCAGAAACTTGGTCCCCTTTGACATTTTCTAGCCCTGGCCCCTCTTTGTCTTCCAGTGCTGAGCTCTCTAAATGGTACATGAAGGAAGCAGTAAGAAAAGTGGAAGTGTGAATCAAGGGGGTATACATATGAAAGAGTGCCAGTGTCAGCAACCTGAGGTTGCCAGGACAGAGGAGAATGTATAGCAGTGTCTGAGAGGTAAAACTGTTGTGGGTGGGGAGAAAAATGGGTAATCTCAGGGCAAGAAAGTTTGTTGGGATTATGAATAGTCAGATGAAGTTAGATTAGGTTTAGGGTAAAAGTTACAAGGAGTGTACTAGATAATGGTTGTTAGAAAGAAAAGGGTGTGAAGATTAACTAGAGAATGTAGAGGTGACAAACATGATGGGAGGGAGGATAATGATAAATGTAGGTAGACTGACCCTGAGAACAACAAGCAAGACTACTTTACAGGGTTAATTTAAAACAATTCCATTTCACAACATCTGTTATGTTTGATCAGTTTAAAATATTGTCATACTATATTAAAAGATTGTTCAGGAAGAGTATTCAATGTGATGACAAATTAGCAAGTCAAAACTAACAGAGCATAAACCTTATTATTCTGGTCTATGTTTCAGCTCCGAAGTCTGCCCTATTGCTACTGACGCATAAATACAAATGTACATACCTAAATATATCAAGTATTGTGTAATAGGTAAACCGGAATGGAAGCATTATCAAGTAATAACCCCATCCAAGCAGCCCCTGAAATTCCAAAAACAAAGTTAGACACCATTCTCTCAATCCCTAATACCCTACAAAATGACTAGTTCAGATTTTTACTCTTTTTTTGTTCTTTCACATGATTCCTTCCTCCACAATATGGGTTCCCTTTTCCTGGCCACATCATCCTTCTTAAAGACCAACTGCATTTCATCTCATTTCATCTAATACCATCATATTTTTCTCTTATCACATAATTTCTGTATTAAATCTGCTTCAACACTTTCTGCAGCTACTTATACTAGTTGTCAAATTTAGTTACAAGTATGCCTCCCTAATCATAAATATTCATTCTTTCCTTTTCAGATTTACACATTAAAATATGGTATACATAAGTAACAAGAAAGATAACCACCATTACCACCTTGGACATTTGTATATAAATGACAAATAATTACATTAACCACAATTATAAATCCCCATATAGCTGCCAATCTTAGTAATAATACTAATTATTATTTTAGCAATGCTGATTATTGCTGCTTTTATTATTAACTAGAATATATAAGGGGCTCTATAGTTTACAAAGCATTTCTCCTATGTCATAATGTGTTAACCTGAGACCTTCCCTGTGTCTATGGCCAGGGAGCACTGAAGCCCCATGGCTGACATTAGGGTCCCAAACAGAGTCAAACCCAAAACAAACTGAGGAAATATTAGGCATATACAGAATTTCTGGAGTCATATAATTGCTCTAGGAATCTGTTTTCTTCTACTTCAGAATGCCCCATACAACCAGTTAGAAACCCCATTTTTATAACGTTGTCAAGTACTCCACACAAAAAAATGTATGATAATGGAGTAAATTCTAACTGCTGCAAGGTTAGAGAGAGTGCTTTTTTGGAATTCTAAATCCACATATAAGAGGTTGAGCGTAGGGGCGCCTCGGTGGCTCAGTCGGTTAAGCATCTGCCTTCGGCTCAGGTCATGATCCCAGGGTCCTGGGATGGAGCCCCACGTCGGGCTCCCTGCTCAGTGGGAAGTCTGCTTCTCCCTCTCCTACTCCCTCTGCTTGTGTTCCTTCTCTCGCGTGTCTCTCCCTCTCATTCAAATGAATAAATAAAATCTTTAAAAAAAAAAAAAAAAAAGAGGTTGAGTGTAACTCCAAGAATAAGAAAGAGAAACTCCAAAAAGTCCTCTGAAGGGGCGCCTGGGTGGTTCAGTTGGTTAAGCGTCTGCCTCCGGCTCAGATCATCATCCTGGGGTCCTGGGATTGAGCCCTGCGTCGGGCTCCTTCCTCAGCAGAAAGCTTGCTTCTCCCTCTCCTTCTGCCTGCAGTGGCCCCTGCTTGTGTTCTCTCTCTTACTACCTCTCTCTATATATATGTCAAATAAATAAATAAAAATCTTAAAAAAAAAAAAAAAAGTCCTCTGCAGTTCATTATTAGTATACATAGCTGACTTTCCTAATTAGACTGTAAGAGCAATTTGAAGGGGGAGGACTGGCTCTTTATTCATACCTGGATCACCAACAACAAAATACCAGGTACAATGGAGCACTCTTAAATGCCTGTTGAATTTAAAGGAACGACCATCACCTCCCTGCTACTAGCCCTTCAAGACTAATTTCAAAGATATGGCCAAGGTCTCCATAAAGATTCTAAGTAACTCCCCCAGAAGTAGCTTAAAATTAAGTAAAATGAAGCAACAAAGAACCAAGTAAACATTCTAACTTCAAAGTGAAAATGAAAGACCTAGGGGTGCCTGGCTCAAGTGGCAGGACATGTAAGTCTTGATCTCACGGTTTTGAGTTTGAACTCCATGATGGGTGTAGAGACTACTTTAAAAAATAAAATCTTGGAAAAAAAAAAAGTGAAAGATCTATTGAACATGTAGCAAACATTTTTAGACATGTAAATAAAACTGTGTACTCAAAACAAGGTACACAAAACTCTTCAAAAACTAGCAAAAAAAAAAGGATACTTACCGTATCAATTCATTGAGGAATCAAGGGAAAATGATAAACCCAATAAATCTACCAAGGAGCCAGTCTAGCTAACAGGTTCACATTCTGAATATTTCCTTTACTCCTGTCATACAGAGATCAATACAACCTAGTGAATGGACTTGTAAAATAAGGGGGAAATTCCAGCTACAAAATAACTTGCCCTTGGTTGTGGTCTCGAGACAACGTAACTGTAGATCCTGTGGTCAGCTGTATTAACTTGCAGGGGTCGGGATGGAGGTGGGTTGAAAACACTTGGTACACCTTCTTGCTCATTCAATCGGTCCTGTACAGCAGCCTGAGAAGGAAAAAAGAGCAGTTAAGAGTTTCAGTGACACTCAAATCAACCCAAAAGAAAAGATGAGGCAACCACTGCTTGGTGTTTCAAAAAGGATCACCTGATGAGTATATCTTTATAGACCTTTAACTTGCTATGCTGGGAGGCAATGTGTGGTGATAGCTCCAGAATTCACAGGAGTCCAAGAAACTTGTCTGGAAGCTCTATTTATGCAGCAAACACAACTGCTTTTATTCAGATGGTATGTGTTATTAAGGGTGGCTGGGATCCAAGGTGCTTCACTGTAGGAAGGAAAGCCATCCACGGAGAATAGAATGTAGAAACTGCCCCTAGAGCTGTGCAATGGAGCAGTCATAATGAGCAGTTTGATGGAGGGCTTGGCTTTGGAACAAAGAAACTTAGGTCTGAACAAAGAACCTTAGCTCTACCACTCAGAATAGTCGCTTGGATTATGAGCCTCAGTTTCCTCATGTGCAAAACGAAGGAACAGTTTTCTCAGGGTTAATTTGAAAATTTAATGAGATGTCCATATATAAAGATCCCAATATAATTCCTGACAGAATATTCAATAAAAAACCTTATTCTTTTTAATAAAGATTATTTATTTTAGAAAGAGGGCAAGTGCACGTGAGTAGATGGGTAGAGGGAGAGAATCTTAAGCAGGCTCCCCACTAAGTGTGGAGCCCCACACAGGACTCCATCTCACGACCCCGAGATCATGACCTCAGCCAAAACCGAGAGTCGATTGCTTAACCGAATGAGCCACCTAGGCATCCCCAAAAACGTTACTCTCTTAACTCTGCCCCAGAAAATTGTATTTGTCCCAGCGTAGGAAAAATATTTGGCCCTACCAAAGAGAGATCTGGTTTTGGGCTTTGGATTACGGGAGATAATCTGTAACTGATAGAAGTGTCTTTGTTACCAGATCTTAGGGTGAGAATGGCCACGCCAGAAAGACCAACCATATGGTTTAGGGTGGGGACTTTGTGTAATGAGTTATCAGTTGATCTGGAGACTGAGCTCAATAGTAGGCAACCAATCAATTCAATCATGACCATGTAATGAAGCCCCAATGAAAACTCTGGACACTGAAGCTGAGATGAGCTCCCCTGGTTGGCAATATTTCATGTATAATGTCACAAATCTTTGATTCCATGAAAGAGATAGAATATGGAAGCTTTGTGTTTAGAATTCAAGATTCTGCCCTAGATGTCTCTTCCTTTAGCTGATTTTAATCTATATCCTTTCCCTGTAATAAACTATAACCCAAGTATAATAGCTTTTAGAGAACTCTTCCAGTGAATTATCAAACCTGAGGGTGGTTTTGGGAAATTCCTGAACCTGCAGTTATTGTCAGAAGTGAAGGTGGTCTTTTAAGAACTTGTGTGCTAACTTTGACAGCTGGCTTTAAATGTTGCAGTGTGACTAACATCAGGTAGTTCTCTAAGTTTTCATATTTTTCAGTATTAAGGCACAATCTGATGTGGAAAGAGCAGTCTTTCAACAAATGATACTGGGATAACTGGATACTGACATGCAAAAGAAATGACATGTATAATATGATCTCACTGATATGAAGAACTCTTAATCTCAGGAAACAAACTGAGGGTTGCTGGAGTGGTGGGGGCTGGGAGGGAGCGGGTGGCTGGGTGATAGACATTGGGGAGGGTATGTTCTATAGTGAGTGCTATGAATTGTCTAAGACATGAATCACAGACCTGTACCTCTGAAACAAATAATACATTATATGTTTGGAAAAAAAAAAGAAGAAGAAGAAGATAGTAGGAAGGGAAAAATGAAGGGGGGGGGAATCGGAGGAGGAGACAAAACATGAGAGACTATGGACTTGAGAAACAAACGAGGGTTCTAGAGGGGAGGGGGTGGGGGGATGGGTTAGCCTGGTGATGGGTATTAAAGAGGGCACGTACTGAATGGAGCACTGGGTGTTATACGCAAACAATGAATCATGGAACACTACATCAAAAAAATTAATTTAAAAAAAAACTTGAACTCCTAAATCACATTATATACAAAAATTAACTCAAAATATATCAAAGACCCAAATGTAAGAGCAAAAATTATAAAACTCATAAAAGAAGACAAAAATCTTCATGACCGTGGATTAGGCAACTGTTCCTTAGACATGACACTAAAGCACAAACAACAAAAGAAAAAAATTAGATAAACTGGACTTTCATCAAAACTTTTGTGCATCCAAAAAAAAAAAAAAAGACAAAGGGACACTACCAAGAGAATCAAAAGACAACCCCTGGAATAGAAGAAAAGATGTATATGTATCTGTAAGAATGTGGTATCTAGAAAATACTAAAAACCCTTACAACTCATCATCAAAAAGATAATAACCCAATTTAAAAGTGGGCAAAGGACCCCAAAGATGACATACAAATAACCGACAAGCACATAAAAACATGCTCTATATAATTAGCCATCAGAAAAATGCAAATCAAAATCACAAGACAGTACTTCACATAAGATACTAACAACTGTTGGTAAGGATGTGGAGAAACTGGAACCCTCATACACTACTGCTGGGAATGTAAAATAGTATAGCCTCTTTGCAAACAGTCTGGCAGTTCTTCAGAAGGTTAAACATAGAGTTGCCATAGGACTCAGCAATTCCACTCCTAGGTATACACCCAAGAGAAATGAAATCATCTCCACAAAAACCTGTACACTAATGTTCACTGCAACATTACTGATATTGGACAAAAGTGGAAACACCCAAGCATTTATCAACTGTGGTATATTCATACAAGAGAATGGGATTTGACATTAAAAGGAATGAAGTACTGATACATACTATGATATGCATAAATCTTGAAAACATGCTAAGTGAAATAAGCCAGACACAAATGGACAAATATTGTCTGATGCCACTTACATGAGGTATCTAGAATAGCCAAATTCTATAGAGACAAAAAGTGAAATTATGGTTACCAGAGGCAGGGGAAGAGGATAATGGGAAATAACTGTTTAATAGGTACAGAGTTTCAGTTTGGGATGATGAAAAAGTTCTGAAAACGAAAAATGTTACCACTGTCACAACAATGTAAATGTATTTAATGCAACAAAATTGTAAACTTAAAAATGGTTAATGGGTAAACTTTTTTGATATGTACATTTTACCACAACACAAAAAAATGAATGCAGTACTGATACATGCTACATATGAAAGTCCAGAAAAAGGAAATCTATAAACAGAATGTAGATTAGTAGTTGCTTAGGAGCAGGGAGGGATAGAAGTAGGTGGATAACAGCTAAAGGGTATGGGGTTTCTTTTGGGGGTAATGTTCTAAATATTCTAAAACATTTGGGGGGAAATGTTTTAAAATTGATGGTGGTAATGGCTGCACAACTTTGCGAATATACTAAAAACTACTGAATTTCACATTTTAAATAGGTGAACTGTTTGGTATGTGAATTACATATCAATAATAAACCTGTTACTTAAAACCCACAACTGACAGCAATTGTTGTCAATTATAAATCAGAACTTCCAGGCAAAAATTTTGGAAAACTTGTATTTGCCATTGTAAACTTGGCAATTTCCTAATACCTTTTAAAAGCTTTTCTGATGAGTATGGTGGTACTATTAATACATGAAATTATATAGTAAAATGCAACAACATTTGGAAGATCTATATTAATTCAGTGAACACTATTTTCCAAATAACCAATGCCTGAAGTTATAAAATCATGCAACGGTCAAAGGGGATCCTTACAAAGTGCAATGTCAATCACTTTTCAGTGGGACCTTAGGGAGGGGAGTGACAAGGGAAGCACAAAGCCCAGGATGGTGAAGGAGAGACCAGAAGTAGTCTTTTTATTTATTATTATTAACATATAATGTATTATTTGTTTCAGGGGTACAGGTCTGTGATTCATCAGTCTTATACAATTCACAGCGTTCACCATAGCACATACCTTCCCCAATGTCCATCACCCAGCATCCCCATCCCTCCCACCCACCTCCACTCCAGCAACCCTCAGTTTGTTTCCTGAGATTAAGAGTCTCTTATGGTTTGTCTCCCTCTCTGGTTTCGTCTTGTTTCATTTTTCCCTCCCTTCCCCTGTGATCTTTTCTCTTGTTCCTTACGGACACAGACAGAGTCAAGTTAGACATGAAGTCAACTGCCATGTTGGGAGAATACTCAAACAGTCCCATAGAGCATTTCACATGGCAGAGAACTGAGAGCCTCCTGCCAACCACCAGCACTACCCTGTTAGATGTGCTTGGGTTTCCTCTTTAAAATTGGTGCTCATGGTTTGGCTTTCTACAGAAGACAACAATACCTACAGAAGTAATGGGAGGAGAAAGCAGGTGGCAGACACCAGATAGCTTACCTGATAGCTGCTGCTGCCAATTCCACTTCTGACTCATGAAAGCCTTTAAAGAACAGTTTATTCTTGGGAAACAGGTATGGGGGAAGTTCAAAACGAGAAAGAAGGACTAGAGGTATAACTTAAGAAAAATATAATTGAATCCAGCATCCCGAAGCTACCTATCCCCAAATATTCTCTCCACAGGCAGGGCCAAGGCACAGAGCAAGAGGGGAGTAGCCAGTGGGCTTCAAGGATGGTGGGAGGGAATGAACTGAAGAAAAGCAGATCTTAAAAGTCTTCATCACAAGAAAAAAAAAATCTGTAACTATGTATGTTGACAGACACTAACCAGACTTATTGTGGTGATCATTTTGCAATATATACAAATACTGAATCATTATGTTGTACACCCAAAACTAATAATGTTATATGTCAATTACACCTCAATAAAAAAACATTTTTAAGTAAAATAAATAAAAATTAAGGCTAGACCGCAAAAAAAGAACTGAAAAAAAGTGATGTCCCTCAGAAAATTGTGTTTCAAACTACTATCAACATTAAAAAGACCACTCATGGGGCGCCTGAGTGGCTCAGTCGGTTGAGCATCCAACTCTTGATTCCGACTGGGGTCAGGGTCTCAGGGCTGTGGAACTGAG